GAAGAAGAAGGAAAGAAAAAAAAAAGAAAAGAAAGAAGAAAAGAGAAAAAGTTGTATGATGCATGACCCAATTGAGGGTGGAGATAGGAGTCAGAAAGAGATTTAGATCAGCGTCTTGGCCGATTTTCGAAAGACAATTGGAAGAATAGAATTATAAATAATAAGAAGAAAGAAAGGAAAAAGACATGATATCAAAACGGGCCGCTTGATGGAAGCCAGATATCGGTCAAAGCACCTAGCCTACTTTTGCATGGAAAGACACCTTATCAATTTGGATAAAGAAAATTTTGGGAACAATGAAACAATCTTAATCAGAGAAAAGTGTCTTTGGGTTGGGGAGTGATCGGTGGAACGAGATACAGACCTGTTAAGAATTGGACACCCACGTTAATAAAGTAGAGACATTTCAATGTAGATAATTAAGATTTTCGACTATCAGGAAAACAAAGAGGTAAAAAGAGGGACAATTGCTTTTGGCTCACAGAGGGCGCCAAGAAGGCGGAAAAAGATCCTTTCTAAAGTCAAGACTAATTAGCAGCGGGCTGTTTGACAAAGTCCAGGTGAGAGAAAGCCAAAGATTGTCATTTTGCGTACGTGCAAAAAGGGAAAAATTGGATTTTGTTTTTTTTTAAACAAGAACGATGTAACCCACCCGCAAACAAAGGGGAGAGGATGTTCGATCAATAACAATTGGTCGAATACGATCACGTGACCTGCGGAAGAAAAAGGAAAGAAATGTTCGATCAATAACAATTGGTCGAATACGATCACGTGACCTGCGGAAGAAAAGGGAAAGAAATGCTCGATCAGGAACGATTGGTTGAAAAGCGGTCACCTGACATACGAGAGACTAAGAGAGATGGATGTGCGCCGCCCCACCAAAGGTACTGTGAGGAAGTAGGGGTGAAAACAATAGCGATAATGGAGAAGACAGAATTAATGCAGCTTTTGGAATTATCGAGAAAACCCTGACGCCGACAGACCCACCCCAGTTTGTTGCGGCGTCAATATAAGCAGGACCCCAGTCGACAGAAATCAGTAGAGTTGGAGTTGCAGTTGGAGTTGAGAGTTGGACCGCGGGCAGGGATAGAGCCTGAACGCGGCCATCAAGGCCCGATTCACTCGCCCCTTTGCGGGCAGAAGAATCCTCAGACAAGAAATCCTTCCAGCCCAAGTCGAAGACCTTCAAGTAGACGAAGAAGAAGATTGCCCTGAGAAGAATTGGAGATCAGACAAGCCGAAAGTCGATGAGAAGTTAAAGTTCATCCCCGGACGGCAAGCGAGAAAAGAACCCTCAGACAAGAAGAACTTCCAGCCCAAGTAGATGAAGAAGAAGATTGCCTGAAAGCCTGAGAAGAATTGGAGCTGCAGACAAGCCGAAAGTCGATGAGAAGTTAAAGTTCAGCTCCGGACGGCAGTGAGAAGAGACCACCTCAGACGACAGAGAGTTGCGGCTAAGTTGAAACAAGAAATCTTCCACCAAGTTGAAACAGGAAAACTACCAGCCCAAGCAGACGAAGAAGAAGAAATACAACTCAAGTCGGAGAGAAGAATCAACTGCGAATGATCGATAGAAATTAGCCCCAGTGTCGAACTGAACCACACTCCGACATACATACATGATTCTAGAAAAAGTAGGTAATTCGACATTTTTCTATTGTGTGATAGAAGCTTGTGCCATAGTCCACAGAGCGGGTCGGGAAATGAGAACAATTTTGTTTTTATGTAACGGACTTTAAGATATAAAAGGTTGTTACCCTTTTATCAGCAATTTTGTTTGGTGTCGTGAGTTTTTATTTTATTTGTGTTTTGCCACCCCCGTCGGACTCAACTTGTATCGGCCCCGATCCTGCTGGTCCCGTCTGTCTAAGATCTAAACACAGCGTGGGTAGACAGACCGGAGATCGGTATAGTTGCTTTAGTGACCAGGTATTGGAAGCGAGTCGGGAAAGGCGAGGCTGGTGATCATCTGACCAAAGGGTTGGAGCGGCACGCTTGGACCCAGGAGGAGCGACCAGGAGGAGCGACGTCACCGTTGGCGCCGTAACCAAAGGATCCGACACTGGGCCAGGTGTGTAACCGTCACAACAGGAACAATATCTCTTTCCCAGAAATTATCAGGTACATCAGCTAGTGTGTATATATATATATATATATATATATATATATATATATATATATATATATAAAATGTATGATCTTTAAGAAAGAGATATTTTATTAAAAATAGGATACAAAATATCACAGCGATTAAAATTTAAGGTACCTTTCGGCTGGCACATTTTCAGAAAATAATATTATCGTCAGCAAGTAAAACCAAGTGGTTGAAAAGAAAAATTATTTTCAACAACTGCTGTTAAAATATACCAAAACTAGCGGAGGGAACAAAAAAAAACAAAAACACCATTTTCCTAGTTAGCTGTTTGATTGGCAACCGGCTCCCTGAACAAGGCCAACTTGTGTTTTAATTCTCACTGCCAACACAGACTCCAAGATGTCCAAGTGGCATCTGGTCTATGCCCTGTACAAGACAGAGAACTCAGGAGAATAGTCCACCTGCAAGCAACAGAATTCAATAAATGTTCACTGATAGCAGTATCGTGAGCCTGTGAACACCCACATGCTACAGGCTCATGTACTTGGCGCGGAATATGCTGGGTGATCTTAACCTCTAACCACTGGATAGTCTTACCCACATAGTTGATTTCATATCGACATTTATACTGATACACAACTAAACTCTGCTGAAGGGCAGGCAAGTCATCCTTATGGCCAGAGTAGAAAGCCCTTTTGGTTGGAAAAATATTCCGGCATTAAAAAACTGTTTGATGGAATGTAACAAGATTTAACATGGCGTACGGACAAAAAGAGTTAAACAAAACGATTTTTAAATTTTTGTCAGAAAGAGAATTATTTTCCCAGGATATGGGAATAGATGTATGAACTTTGTTGAAAAAGTTAAACAATGACACGAGTAAGCCTTGTGCCATCCGTGAAAGTACAAATCACAGTATTTGAAGTTAAATCCAGTTGTCGCTGAAGAAAAACTCCGACGATAAACCTTGTGTTGCTTTGAAAGTACAAATCACAGTAGAAGCTTCTTCAAAGAAGCTACCCGTAATTTTCGTTCCGTCGCCAATTATTAGAACGGATTGGGAAAAGAAGAAAAAGAACAAAGAACTGTAAATATATATATATATATATATATATATATATATATTTTATTTTTTTTTTTTTTGTTATTCTGATATAAACACCATATCGTGACTTATTCAGGCATCGTCCATTTTATTTTCCAATTTTGTATGTACGCATTTAACTCCTTGGTTTAGTGTGGTTAAGATACCTCTGTGGAAATTCCCTCTTAAGAGCAAAATCACAACGTGGGTAAGAGAGGTCAACTTAGAGACCAGCTGCTGTGTCAAACACCATCAATGACCAACGAGTGGGTTGACGGCTTGTTCTATGATACTGGGATCGATCCTGACCAAGCGAGCAGACTGTGGGATTGACCCTGAGTACCGCTATACCTGGTGACCGAAACAGACTGGACCTGGAGATTTGGAGGCTGTGACTAGGCAGTGGCCGAAACCGTCTCATAATTGGTCGCAGCAGGCAGGCCGTACTCCTGAATACGTCATAGGAAGATGATATTTTATCAGTATATATTTGTAGCAGTTGCTATGTTTTTCCATGCCCATATTTTATTCGCCTGCGATTGGCTAATAAATCACTACTACTTTTATATAGCCATCTCAGTTGTTTCTTTGAATCCTTCGGTTTTGAGCTTGATTGCTTGTTCTGTTAGCACAAGTGTAGTGATTTGTTAATTTTTAAACCAATCACATATTTTAGTGCAAGATTAAGTTTTCCCGCATTGCCGTGGGAGCCTACCCTTTTTTTTTTAAAGGGGTGACTTTTCACAAGTCGTCAATAAGATCCATTAAAACTTCAGCCGTCAGCACAAATCCACGATCTTACTCGTCACATTTCTAACAGACACAGAATTTCGTAATATAAACTTACATTTCTCTCTGTGACTTTGCCAACCAGAACTCTGTTGATTCAAACCATTTTATAACACAACACATATTTAATTAATTGTATTCTTGTGTTATTTATTCTTAACATGGAAATTTGCTCTAACAATTGATTTCAGAACATTTATCTCAAGAGAACTTTCTTCGAACAATTAATTACAAATCAATCTATAGTTAAAGGGGAAAAACTTCTTTTCTTTAATCTATCTACATTGAATAACAATTTTATTTCATGTTTGTTGTTATATTTTATTTCAATATATATTTGTTGATTAACAATTTGGAGTTATTGTTGTATTATTTGAATCCTGTTCGTTGAAATATCGTCAATATAAATCGTAGCCAATTGAATCACACGTGGTGGCCTTTATAATTGAAACCTCGACGTTGAAATCTTTCTCAACTCACCTTTCAATGTGATTCTTTCTCAACGAGATTCTTCTTAAAAGTAAAAAAAGAGAAACCCAATTTTTTGCCAACAACACCTCAAAAATCAACATACGACACTTCAACTTGGCGCGAAACATGTTTTTCTCTACCACGTGCGTTTAATAACTACTCAAGATGGCTGACCAAGATGGCAATGAAGCTACTGTCTTGCTTAACCTGCCTGTGTTTAACACAATCAACGTACATGTTTGGTTCTCCCAGTTAAACATCATCTTCCAGGCAAAAAGAATTCACTCCCAAACGGCACGCTTTGCCTACGCTGTTGAAAAGCTGCCGCCGGAGGTTGCTTTTGAAGTATCAGACTTGTTGGAAAATGTTCCGACAGACAAACCTTTCGACACATTAAGGGAAGCTATAATATATAGGACAGGCAAATCCGAGGAGCGCCGCATAAATGACCTGTTCAACACTCTTCAACTGGGCGACAGTAAGCCTACGCAACTATTACGCAAAATGAAGAACCTTCTAGGCAAAAACACAATGTCGGAATCACTGCTCCGCAAGCTTTGGATGGACAAACTGCCCACCCACACCGCCCAAATCCTAGCGACCCTTCCTGAGGATTTAGACTTAATGAAAATGGCTGAAATAGCCGACAAAATCACTGAAGCTAAAGCCCTCAATAGCATGCACATCCCCGAACCACACGGCACCCCCGTCGACGACTTAATAAACAAGTTGCAACAGCAAATTAACAAGTTGTCAATTCAACTAGATCGTCTAAGCAGAGAGCGTTCGCCCCCAGCTCACAACTTATACAAGTCACACCGGCGTTCGCGATCTAAGTCACAAGGGAAGTCGACTATTACCTGTTGGTATCACTGCAATTTCAGGCAGGCAACTAGGCGATGTACTAAGCCGTGCCTGTTCAAAGCCCAGCCGGCATCTACATATAAACAGCAGGCGGGAAACGCCAGCCCCAACAACGCATGAAGACGGTGTCTTGGGGGAGACAGAATCAACCGTCTCTTTTATGTTCGGGACAGTAACTCAGATGAATTATTTTTGGTCGATACAGGTGCTCAAGTCAGTATGATTCCGCCCAGACCAGGTTTTTCTATGGAGAAATCTTCATACATCTTACGTGCTGCAAATGGCTCTCAAATTCAAACCTACGGCCAGGTTTCACTGACCTTACACATTGGGTTAAAGAGGACATTTCAATGGTTTTTCACCGTGGCAGAGGTGAAATTCCCAATACTCGGCGCGGACTTCCTAGCACATTACAAGCTAGCGGTAAATATGTCAAATCACACACTCATCAACCAAACAACGAAACTTACCCACTTAGGAATTACCTCCACTCTCACATCAAGTTATGCGTTGTTTTGCCGGAGAATAATCCACTCCAACACGTACTGGATAAGTTTCCCACACTCATTCAATCTTTTACATACACCGAAACGGTAAAACATAATACCGTACATAAAATTCAGACATCTGGCCCGCCAGTTTTTTCGAAGTCACGCAGACTCAGGCAAGAAAAATATAAATTAGCACGTGCTGAATTTCAGCATATGTTGGATCTGGGCATAATTCGCCCTTCATCAAGCCCTTTTGCATCTCCACTCCATATGGTCCCCAAGGCGCAAGAGGGGGCATGGAGGCACTGCGGAGATTACAGACATTTAAATGCACAGACAATTGCTGACAAGTATCCTGTGCCCAACTTAGCCGATTTCGCCATTTCATTACAGGGAGCTTAGATCTTCACGAAGATCGATTTACAAAAAGCTTTCAACCAGATCCCAGTGGCCGCAGAAGACATCCATAAGACGGCGATCACAACTCCTTCTGGTCTGTATGAATTCCTTCGAATGGCTTTTGGGCTTCGAAACGCGTCACAATCGTTTCAACGTCTGATCGACGAAGCACTACGTGGTTTGTCGCATTCGTTTGCCTACATCGATGATCTACGTGTAGCAAGCGCCAACATGGACGAACACGTGCTTCACGTCACGCAAGTTTTTCAGTGTTTAGAACATTTTGGCTTGAAAATCAACTCAGACAAATATGTTTGCCGTGCCTAAAATAAATTTCCTTGGAGATGAAATTGACGGTTCTGGCATCACACCTGTAGCAGATAAAGTCAAAGCTATACGAGAGTTTCCACAACTTCGATATGGTTTGATAAACTACTATCGCCAATTCATCCCTAACTGTTCCCACATTCTGGCACCTCTCACCAACGTGGCCAGGGAACACGAAACGCGAAGATAACTCTGTCGGATGAAGCTCTTGCTGCTTTTTACCAATTCAAGAAATGCATTAGGTAATTACACTTTACTATTTACGTGACAACGGAACAGCACATCTTTCACTCACCACTGATGTCCCGTCAGAAGCCATGGGAGCTGTTTTACACCAGCACACAGAAAAAGAGACTACACCTATTTCTTTTTTCTCTGTTAAACTTACCCCCAAAAAAAAAAAAAAAATACAGCACTTTCTCACGGGAGTTATTAGCAATTTAAATTTCAATTTTCGACACATTTTAAAGGTTTTGACTTATTTAGGTTTTTAGTTTATGCCCTTCATCTAAAAGACAAGTATAATCCACGTTACAGACAACAAGATATTTACCTGGCATACGTTATGAAATGCAAAGATAAAACTGTTAAACCTATTGTTATAAAATAAAAGTTTATCTGCTAATTTCAGGAAAATAAACTAAATTCAGACGGAAGTATAATTCTCATGAAATGTATCATATTTACGCGTTTACGCATATTACACACAGAGAAAGAAAACTAAAACATTTTAAATTTCTGTTTTTCTTTCGGTTTAAAATGACATATGTTACGCCATTAAAAGGTCAAAGGATAACACCAACACCAGGAAACATTTTTCACCCTAGCGGTCAAGAGCATTCTTACTCAACCATAAGAACTTTAAGAGAGAAACCAGATCTTCAAATATAAAGGTAGCCGTCCCAAAACAACACGTTCTTATTGAAATAAATCACGTAAATCTATTTTACTGTTAAAGTAAACTCAGTGCAACCAAAATTATAACACTATCATTCTTACTCAACGCTAGTAAGGAGAAACTTGTCTCAAATTTATCGCCAACAAGCAACAAAGGGACACTAATAGACTCAAAAAAAATCATTAAAAATTGAGCAACGTCCCGTGCCCTTCAGTAATAAGTCAATCGCAGACGTCCCTCTCATCCCACCTCTTGGTATGAGAAGACAAATTTTCGACCACTTCCATTCATTATCACACCCTGGACGGAAAATAATGACAAAACTTATTTGTGAACGTTTTGTCTGGCCAAATATGAACGTCGATATCAGGCACTGGACTCAGTGTTGCCAAATTTGTCAGCGAACGAAAATACATCGTCATATCAAATCCCCACTAGGAAATTTCACTGTACCTGACGGTCGTTTTCGTCATCTGCACGCTGATTTAGTGGGTCCGTTACCGGAAGTACACGGATACCACTACATTCTTACAGTGATCGATAAATTTACACGATGGCCTGTCGCCATCCCACTTCAATCTACAACCGCAGAGTCTGTCGCTAAGGCGATATTGAAAGAATGGATTTCTATCTTTCTTTGGATGCCCATCAGTGATAACGACAGACCGCGGTCCTCAATTTCAATCAACACTGTTTAAGGAATTTGTAAATCTTCTTGGAGCGAAGCACATTTCAACAATGGCATATCACCCGTTGCCAACAGCCTCGTTGAATACTTTTCCCCGAATTAAAGGCTGCGTTAACTAGCTCCAACCAACAACCAATCCTGGATGGATAACTTACCATTAGTTATGCTATCACTTCGTTCTCTATTAAAGGAGGATTTGCAATGTTCACCCGCAGATCTTTGTTTGGCAAACCACTAGTGTTGCCAGGGCAATTTTTGACCGGGAATTCAACTTTAGAGCCTTCTTCAACTTTCGTTAAGTACCTTCCGAGTAGGATGTCCACCTTGTCCTGTACTTCTACTCGTTTTCAGACCAAGGACATCTGTGTTCCTTCTTTAAATAATTGTGATTTTGTTTTCGTAAGACAAGACACCCTCAAGAAGCCACTGACACCCAGCTACTCAGGTCCATTTCGAGTTCTCTCTCGTCATACCAAGTTTTTCACCATTCAGCTCAGTAGTGGTCAATCGAATATCTCGATCGATCATCTTAAACCAGAGTACATTGAGCAGAATGTTACAATCATCACCACCACCTAGTAGCACTCTGCAAATCAGCACCAGATCACCAAGTTACAAAGAGAGGGAGAAGGGTCTACTGGCCTTCCAAATTCAATCAATACTGTACATATTTAAAAAAAAAATGTTTGCATATATATTATAAATTAATATTAATGCTCTGTAAATTTACATTGAGCACTATTTTGTAAAAATAAAAATATCTATAAGAACACCGGATTTTATATCTTACTGTTCTTTCTTTATATATATATATATATATATATATATATAGGTATATATATATATATATATCTTAGTTTTTAAAGATTTGGCTGTTTGAAAATGGTTCTTCTAAAAAAAGAGAACGTTATTAATAAATATGATCCGTTTCTTTTCTTAAAGATCATTTTATCTATATATGGCAATAATAATCTGTTATATATATATATATCTTAGTTTTTAAAAAAACAAACAAAATCCTTAAATGTAGTTAAATGAAAGAAAATGTCGACGTCTGACGTTTCGGTTTATTAAATCTTTTTCAAGACAATATTCATCAAAATACAATGGACATAAAAATATGCTTATTCAAATAAGATGAAAATTTTTAAAAACACAAGTCTAACATGGTCACGCTGTCGTCACATGGGCGACGCTTTCATAACGTATTCCTGTTTGAATAAGACTTGATTTTTATGTCCATCTTACATGGTATATATTGAACTGAATTGTATTTTGATGAATATTGTCTTGAAAAAGGTTTAATAAACCGAAACGTCAGATCGACATTTCTTTCATTTAACTACATTTGTGTTTTTTGTTTGTTTTTTCAAAATTTCTTTCATTCTGTCGGATTTATATCCATTTACACTTGCTTATATATATATATATATATATATATATATATATATATATATATATATATAAGGCAGCATATCTTCCTTCATGTTTTCATTGAATAATATAGGCATATTGTCTACTTATTTTTTGATAAGATTATCTTCAGGGCGAAATTACAAAGACAAACTTATTGTAACTGTCATAAAATCTGCATTCCATTATGATAGTGATTTTTAAAAACACATTCTGTTATAGAATATTTAATTTATCCATTATAGTTATGGAATATTTTTTTGCAAAACAAGCATTTTAATATAAAGGAGCTGATTGGAAATGGGTAAAAATGTAAAATGGTATTAAATGTTATATGCACTTTAATATGTTGTTGCTATATTCACAATAAATTTTGTTGAGTGTGTGACACTATTTAGCTATAGTAATTAACCATAAAAATTGAACTGTGAAAATGCTGAAAACACAAAAGAAGGGTTAAAAATTATCCCAAAGGGTTTACCATTTGACATAAAAAAGATTTTATTTTCATTTTTCAAAAAGTCTATTTTTCTCGAGAAACCAAAGAATTGCGTCAATGATAATTTCACAGAAAGGCTATGTGGCGATCTTTGACAATTGATTAATGCTGGTTGCTAAAAGTGCAGGGTAAGAAAACACAAAATAACCAGAATTGAAAAAGTGCATAAGATATTAATTACACAAGTAAGGAAGTGGCCAGGTGTTAATTGTAAGAATTTTGGTAGGGAGAAAAGGGAATTGTGTAAACAAAGTTCGTGTGGTAGCAGTGGTGATAGGTGGAGGTAAAATAGTAAGAAAGAGAAGTTACTAATGCCCACCAAAAAGGAATTGGTGTGAGGTACTAATATGAGGAGGAGGGAGTTTAGGAGGATAGCTATCCTGCAGCGTCTCCTCACAGAAGAAGGGATCCCCCCCAGAAACAGGAAGTAATTAATTTTCCTAACCAGATGATAGAGACCCTTGTAGGAATCGAAGCATTACCAAAAAACCCAGGCTGTGTCTAACCCTGCACCAGTTTTTGGTCAGGCAGTTCACTAGTTTGCGTTTCCAGTTGGAGAGAGCTGAGAGATTCCACAACACCTGCTGACATGATTCCTGCCTCCAACTTTGCCTTCCTACAAACAGCAAGTTATACTGACGAAGCTAAGCCAGCACTTAAAAACTTGTCTAGAAGTATAAATGTGTCACTCTCAGAAGAAATAGGTTGGGAAGAAAACACATTCCTGTATAGGACAGACTGATAAAAGTTAATTTGCTTTCTTTAAACATACCAAACCTTTTTGGTTTTCATTTATTTCTTTTTGCTTGTGCGATGTCACCTCCAGTTTAGACTCACCTTGCACTACGGCCCCGGTGCCTGATTGATCAAAATCACAACGTGAGTAGGTTGAACTTGAGATCACGATACTTCAGTAACCAGTCATTGGAAGTGAGCTGAGAACAATGGAGCTGGTATTGAACAGATTGCATCTGGTGAGAAGCCGTTACATATTCGAGCCATCAGAATCGACCAACGATCCCATTTGGTACTCTAACTAAAGGATTCTGCCGAGTAGTGACGACTGCCAATTGACCAGGTCACATATTGGTGGCAGTGACTAAGAGTCAAACCCAGATGCCCCCAGTAGGTGTAACAAGTGTTGGTTGGGTGAATTTGATATAGAGGGCCTCGAATTTCATCTTAACATCAAGAAACTGATTAAACTGGAAAGTATCAGTATAAAAATAAGTAGACAAAATATGTCTATATTATTCAATAAAACATGTTTGAACAAAGATATGCTGCCTAAATACACATATTTTAAATTACATGTGAGACTATCATATAGCAAGATATGGGTATTGCTTGGAAGAAGTCTTGTTTCATTTTATCTAGTAAAGCAAATTTGTAGACTATTGACAGCATGTCCATTGCAGCTCAAACTTTGCCAACAGAAATGTTCACATCACTTTTAGTGGAAGAGATGTTACTTCCAAGATAGATGAACTGATTGGCATTTTGTTTTTAATGAAGCTTTGTTTAATGAACTGTTTTGTTATCATTTATATAAAGACCAATTCCCCTTGCTGCTTTTTCTAGACTCTGATTCAACCTGTACAATTTTTATCTGCAAAGTTGCATCAATAATGGTTTTTGCTTGATATCTTCTGCTTTTAGCTTAAGAGAGTCCATTTTCTTTGATTCTGTTCACAGAATCTGAAATCCAGGGTGCAAGTATCTCCTTGTAAGATTCCTGCAACAACATCAAAATTCATTTTACATTATTTCCCAGATGTAGTCAAGTGTTTGCTTTACCAACATTTAAAAGGAAAATACTTTCCTGACTTGATTAGTATATTTTAGCTTAATTTTACTAAAAACAAAGATGACCTGCTTCAACCCAGCTTGTAATAGATAATTAATATTTGATTTCAGTGTTTATTCATACTTGGGAGAGTAGCATGTATAAACATCTAAATATGAATAAAGTAATCTTAGAAAATTTATCTATTAGATTTTTGTTAAAAGACATTGCGTTTCCATCAGGTAATTGAATTTGTCATCATTAAAAACAAAAAAAATCTCAAACTTATTATCAAACAATTACATGTGCATATATTTAGTTACAAATATCTTTCCTGGATTTATTAGGTTGCTCAAAAAAAAAAAAAAAAAAAATTATAATAATGAACAATTTTAGAATCAACTTTTATTCCAGAATTAATGTATTTAAACAGTATTTAAATCAGTCAAAACAGGAAACCGGAACATCTATACATTTCTGACATTGCCAAGTTTATTTATGCCTATACGAAAAAAACTAAAGGTTTAGATGCCAATAAATCTTTGAATGCAATTTCTGCATCTTCTTTGTAACAGAATGCCTTTTGGCCTAAAAACTTGACAAGATGCTTGGAAAAGTGGTAATCTCTTATTAGGGGAATATGGCAAAGTCTCATATCCCAAGTCAGTGAGCTTCTACAGAGATGTGGCAGACATAAAGCAGAATTTAAGCTCATTTATTACGCTGGTTGCATTTTGCTTAACTGAATTTGCATTTGATCTAGTTACTGGTAGCATACTTCAGTAGTGATATGCTAGTTAGATTACAGAAAGCTGTAATGTCAATGCTAAACCACCAGTCATAATCTCCTCTTGGTGCAATTTCAGTTTTGGAAAGTGTTTGGGTCCTTTGTCATGAGCAAGCCATTTAGTTGATCATTTACAATTTTCATAAAGGATACATTTCTCATCACAAGTCACTATTCAATCAAGAAATGGATTATTTGAACTTTGCAGATGCAGCATGAAAACATTGAACCCTTTAACTTTCACTGAGTTCATTTTATTGAGTTTCTTCACCTTGCCAATTTTCTTCAGATGGTCCGATATTGTTGAAATGCTGACACTCATTATTTGTAGATATTCAACTAGTATTTTCAGATGCGGATTGTCAATTGCAGATGGTCATATTCTACCAACTTAATCTTCAAGACTCATATCCCCATTGCAGAACTTCAGAAAACAGGGCCATACTGTCTAATCACATGCTATGTTAATGTTAGCAGTAGTTTGAGAAGCATTATAACCAAACTTGAACTGCAAAAAAGTAAATGCATCTTTTTTCTGTTCAAGATGAGGGGTATATAATGTTTTGTTAAATTCTAAAATTAAGAGAACGCATTGTTAGGAACGAGTAATATTTTTGTGTAACTATTATGATAATTTATTAGAACACAATTAAAATGTTTATTCTAAAATTGGACATTACTTGCCAAACAACCTAATATTTTTATCAGTAATACAGAATAAATATTATTCAAACATTATTAATGCTAGCTTTATGCATGATCAATATAATGAAAAACAGCAGTTAAAAATATTCTGTATATTTCATGTATTGACCTCAGATCTGTACATTAATAAATGTAACACAAGATGAAGGACAACAGTCCAAATGATAAAAATAAAAAATTTGATTAAGAAAAATAATGGACATGACATACTGATCCAATTTGAATTGAAAGGTATCTTAAGTTAATCAGTAGGATTCAGTATTACAAGCCAAGAGAGCCCCATTCCAAGGATCCTATCAACTTTATCGATGACCTAATCAAAATACAGGCAACTTTTGTTTATACATAATTACTGATGAGATTGGTAAAATTCAATTCAAAAGAAAGTATTTAAGACTAAAACAGGTAAGTTAAGCAAGACTGTGATGCTTCAAGAAAACCTAAATGTGTCTCCAAGAAAGTAAGATATGGTGAGAGATCAATGATCAAAAACAAATTATTCAGGTTTATCAAATTGTAGAAATTCCATCTCAAAGGCAAATGATTAACAGTCAATAAACACTTGTGCCAGTCTGATTGGACCAGCCTAAGTGTATGTCTGAAGTCAGTGAAGTGGTTACAAGTGTCTGTGTAAAGACCTGTTCTTATTAACAATATTTCAGTGGTCAAGATGAGAATACTTCAGCATCCTTCACACACTAACTTGCATCAGAATTCACATTTTCCACTAGATCCTGTTGTCATAGTAGAATAAGTAATTTTACAAGTATCCAGCAATCTTTTGAGATTTTCTTTTACATTAAGAACAGGTTATAAATTCTAAACCAACAGCATCATAAAGTTCTAGTCTTTAATCCCAAAACAGTAACATATGACAATCAAAATTCAGAACATGTATCAGCTAGTACACAAATATGTACATAAACATCCATCTTTCTTCGGCCTGTCAGTACATAGTCCTGAAACTAGTAACAGTGGACAGCTGATGAAGTAGTATGTAACAAGAGAAAGATGAAAAGTAGAACACAAGTAACAAAATAATGAAAGAGGTTTCATATTTACACCCAATGGGGGTTTAAAAAAAAAAAAAAAAAAAAAAAAAAGATATTAATAAACAAATATCACAACTTGAGGAAATAATCAATTTATCAATTCACTTCAAAATAAACAAATCAAATAAACTATATCAGCTCAAGGGGGACAATTTTTAAAAAAATACCTATCAAGTTATAATGCGTAAATGATTTTATTAATCAGCCATTTTTTTTTCATAGTTGAGATGGAAAAAATTAATATTGATAATTAATATTTGATAAACAAACAAGAGTGATAAATTGTTTGAGATTTTTTATTAATTCACATTTATATTTTTAATCTTTTTTGCTGCTCTTCATATTTTTATCTAATCTATTCTTTGGACATCAAAATTAAATTGCTGGAATTCAGAACAAAATAGCTTCAGATCAGACTAACTTACATCCCAAAATACAAGACAATTTTGCTATGCCTATAGTAGACATCATTCTGGTAAGTTTTGTTATCCAAATTCATTCCATCACTCTTTCATACCAACTTAAGCTGGATTGTCAAACTTTCTTCCAACTGTAATAAATTGGATGAGATACTGAGATTTTTTTTCTATAAACCAAAAGACAGTTGCAGGAAAATTACAGCTTAAAAAACAAAACAAAAAAATTGCTTGATTTTAACAGCTTAATATTTAAAGTAATACATTACAGCAAACACCCATTATACAACACACGAATTCAAATATTTGAATTTATTATTTTCTGATTTCCCACAATAATCTGAAGGCCAAAAGAATAAACTGGCTATAAACATCAGGATAAGATGAAGAAATTAGCCAAATATAACAGTTTTGTATGAATTTATAAAATAAGCCCCCTATTTCTTTATCTCTATATCATTAAAAGACAAGCAACAACCAATGATCAGAGTCAGGTTGCCTAAAAATGAGAAATTATATCCTATTTCTAAAAAGTATACTGATACATCTCAAAATTCTAAACATTTTCATAAGCCAGAGTGAAAGAACTGAAAATCTACTTATAGATAAATCAAATATTACTCATATTTTTTGTAATGATTTTTCTCTCTATTATGAGTGTATTTATAAGTTTTCCTCAGTGTAGAATAGCCATCAGGAAAAAATTCTTTTAAAAAAAAGTTGTAAAAACAAGTTGTGGATCAACTTCAACAAACTGTTTCAACATGTTATGAAGAATACAGAACAAAGTAAAGATTGTGTCCCTATCTAGTCAGAGGGCCTAAAATGCAAATAAGGAATCTTGTGTAGACATTCAATTTCGTTTTCTGATTCTTAGCCTTTTTTAATTTGTCAATCAGGTAGTGCGTGTGTGTGTGTGTGTAAAAATTCAACTCCTCACCTCCAACATTAAATTTTCTAATGGAGCAAAATAAAAAGAAAATGTCTAAAGAAATATTTATGTAAGTTTTAAAAAAATATCAGGTCTTGTAACTTAATCCTATTGACAATTGTCATAAGTTTTTTTTTTTTTTTTTTTTTATACATTTGTTTTATTTACTTTTCTGAAATTGAATGCATAATACTATTATCAATCTGACTATTCATGGCATATCCATGGCAAGTGTAATAATAAACCTCTTTGGTAAACATTAACTGGGAAAGAAAAAATTCATAAGTATTTGTACTCTTAGACATTTTTGAATAATCATTTACCAGGAGAAATGTAATGCAGAGAACAATATATCTGCAAACAATGTGGGAATGAAAAAAAAAAAAAAATACCTGAAGTAGAATTTATAATATTGCATGTTTATTGTCAGCTTCAATCTAATGAAGAATGTACCACTTCTTTCCTCCCCAACCTCTCCATTTGCATTATATGGTACTAAATAACATTTTGTTATTTTTTTTTAACACGTGCCTTCCACCAAAGAATACAAAGTGCCATTTTAACATGTGCCATACCCCAAAGAATACAAAGTGCAGTTACATTTTATTTTCCTGATTTAACAAATCCAGTAAGTGGGGGCGGGCCAATGTTTGTTGTTACAGGTGAATGTGATAAAGAGGGCATCCTTGTAGGTGACCCAACAGAACTTAGGAAACCAGCTGTTGGGGTCACGGGAGAGGGCATACTTGATGGGGTTGAAGCTGGTATGTATCCAGATGTAGGTGGTATTTGTGAAGGAAAAGAAAGTAGAGGTGGTCCTTGGGAAGGGGTTTGCATGTTCATGCTAATGCCAACATTGCTTGGTGTGGTGGGTAGTGGACCCCGAACTGCCTGGGAGTCTGGCCATGGCATTTGGGGTTTCACACCATTCAAACTGTACAGTTCCTTCAGCACCAACAACACTGTGTCTTCAGACTCCCTGCAAAATTAAATAAAATAGCACAAAACTTTGAGGTAATTCAATATTTACAGAAGTGTCATTCATAATCACATGTACTAATGATGAAATAAAAACAAAACTGTCCATTTGTAAGCAATGAGTAACAAAAGATTATTTTTTTTTTTTTAAATATTTACACTTAAAGCATCTCTTCTAGTTAACAAGAACTTTCATAATTATAGTAAATACTATATACTGACATGCAAAAAGTCATGTTAATAGTAGTTGTAAAGGTAATTATAACTTGATATCATGCCAAGTCCTATAGCAATTGTGCTCTGACATGAGTGTGTGAACACTGGTTAGGCTGCTCATGGCAAGATGACATGAAATATTGGAGTTAGAAGAGTTCATGATAGTGGGTGCCATATAGATAAGACATTCTATTTCTGAAGTTGTGGGGACATTTGACATCAATTGATTAAGTGTGTACCAGGAATACCTGATGAAATACTATGAACAGTAGAGAGCACGGTGGCTCCTTAATGATCATGACCAGAGGTATCAGTCAAAAATTGTCTGAAGTAACAGATTAGTGACACTGACTCACATGCAATGAATGAGGTACAAGAAACATATCAAGCAAGTCAGTTCATTGTTCTTTAGTTTCTATTGAATATGGAAGCAGAAGACTCACCAATTCTGGTGAGTCTTGATATCATGCCTATTAACATCAGATACAGCATCTCATGTAAACTCATGACATCACTAATTGGAGCTTGGAGGACTGACAATGTGTTAATATGATCTGAGGAGTTACAATTTCAGTTGTTCCATGTTCATAGAAAAGTTGCAATTCCTCACAAATATTTGCACCTATTCATGGACTTCACCTACCCCAACAACAATGGTTTATTCTAGCAGAATAATGTACCATCAGACCCAGAATTAGTCTAAGAATTCTCAAAATTTGACAAAGTATATTTTTGTTAAATACATACCAAAATTAACTAAGTAAATAAATAAATTAATGTTGTTCTGACTCATTTGAATTTCAATAAAAACAATAAGAAAAAATCAGCAGCAATAAAATAAGATTCAAAGAAAACTGAAAGAACTTAACATGAAATGATTATATGAATATCTAGCCTTAACATTATATAATGTTAATCTTGTTGGTCTATTAATCTAGTTAATCTTGTTGGTTTGATGCTATTAATCTAGGTATCATGAGATCACTGAAAAATGAGCATAGCATGATAAAAACAGTCTTAAACTTGACAAAAACAAAATTTTATCAAAAGTTTTGTTACTGTTCAGAGGAATGGCCAAAATTTTTTAAAATTATTTTATTAAATTTTTCCATCCTTTCTAACATTCTAACTTTTGATTAAAAAAAAACCTTGTTTCTTTTTGCATTCAGGGGCACTACTAAATAACAGCAAATTTTAGCACATTTTTTTTTTTCAGTGACAGATATTAATTCAGAAAATCTTGCAAAAATAAAAAAAATTGTCAGATTTTAATGACACTTTCAGAAACTATTTGCAAATGATGAAAATTATTATAAATGTTTTTTTTTTTAAAGTCATGGTAAAAATAATTTTTTATTTATTACCCCCACCCCATAACTCTAGATTTTCAATGCTGCATCATTTAGTGATTATATTAGTTAAAAGCTTTGAGGAAATTAAATCATCATATTTTTTTTGTTTTAAAAAAAAAAAAAAAAAAAAAATATTGGACCTCATCTACCTAAAATCAGCTCCGAAATGTAACATACAAAACCCAATAAAACAAAGATATTATTTAATTTCAAATGCTTTTAGTTGATTTTATGAATTAGGATAATATTGTATGAACATAAAAAAATTTTTTCAATGAAAAATGAATTTTTATAACAATTATTTTTATTTTTACACTATTTTACTATTTTTACATTAAAGTTGCTAAATATTAAAATTAGTGAAAATGCTGAACTGTTTACACAGTTACAGATTATAAACTAGTATGTAAAAATCTAATTTTACATTTTTTTTTCCATAAAAACAGTTTTAATTCAAATGTATAGAAGACTAAAAACAGCATGAATATAATAAAAGGTCATGTGGTTTGAGTTGTTGAGTCATGAATAAAATAAAATATCATGTTGGTTGAGTATTGTTCCCTGCTGCTGACTGCTTTTACATTTTGTGAATTGTTCATGTAAACACATATCGAGAAGTTCATCTGATTTTTGGTTTGTACTTAAAACTAAAAGAAATTTGAACTAGAGAGCTTAGAAAGACAATCCAATAGCAGCAACATTAAAAAATTTTGAAAAGTACCATTTTATTTTTATACCTATTTCAAATTCTAATTTATTTCAATTTTGTATATTTGTTTTCAGTAAGTCTTATTTTAATTATATTTTTTTCCAATTAAGAAATAACTCATACCAGGCTTTGCATTTTCAAAATGTTGAAATTTTACAAAGTACCATTTTGTTTACTTTTTTTTTTATACCTATTTCAATATATTTTTTGAATTTGTACGAGTTTTTACTTCAATTATATTTTCTTTCTTTCAATTAAGAAATAACCCAGAAAACACACCCCACTAGGCTTTGAATCTTAGATTTTACAAAATATCATTTTTTTGTTTTATTATACCTATTTCAATATATTTTTTGAATTTGTGTATTTGTCTTTAGATAGTAATATTTTAATTATACATTTTTTTTGTTTTAATTGTTTAAATATATTTTCTTTTTTTGTTTCGTTTCAATGATTTGTGAGTCATACTTCAATCCTTATTAGTTTTTGCTTCAATTAAGAATACATAGTCTAGAAATGAAACCCAATCTTTCTTTATTCAATTTATTCAAGTATTGTTAATTAACAATTTCCTCATTAAATGTATTTTAGTTGGCATTTAATTTTCTTCTTTAATATTTAAATTTATTTTTTCATTGACATTTCCAGATGAACAGAACTGAACAATGTTTGGAAAAGTATGGTGTTGTTGAATGTGGACAACCAGTTCTGTGCAGCCATATATTTAAAAAAAAATTTGTGAAGTCAGATATGAGTGATATAACAAAATGAGCATCCTCTGAAAATGCCAAAAATGGTTTACCAGAAATTACATTTTCATGTGTTATGAATCTTAGAAGAATTTACAGAACCAGACATAATGGCAGAAATTTTCTGAAGCAGGTCTTTTTAGAGCAATTCTTTGCAGCTCTTTTTAGAGCTGCAAAGAATTGAGCTATCCTGGTACCTCAGAAAGAGCTTCAATTGAGACACCATTTCTAATCATTGAAAGAAATAAAAAAATTGAAAATGACAGTATCTAAACAAAGAAAAATAATTTCACTGTTGAAACAGAAGGTTAAAAAATTAACACAAATGTTGAATAAGACCAGGAAAAAAAAAAAAAAAAAAAAAAAAAAAAAAATCAAAACAAAAAGTCCATGCAATTGACATTCGGGAAGATGCATTATGCCTGTCTACTGAGTGGAGTTGCTGCAAAGCATGTTCCTGAAATTTAGGAAAGAGTTTTAACAGTGAAACAAGAACCAACTTTTTTTTAAAGTCTGAAACCACACTTGGCTGAATGGTGGGTGAACTGGTTTTTTTTTCCAATATAAAATCTATCAATTCCGTTCTAACATCAGAAAGCTGCAGCTTGATAATTGACACAACACAAGATGGGATACATGTTAACTGTATGATAGTCACAACATCATCCTCTCATCTTGTGTCAATTGAACGACTTCCTGGTGGGACTGCAGAAAATTATAGGATTCATATTAGCAAAAGCATTTGGGGTGAGTGCTGCTAGCAGTCACCAAGCATTGATTTTGAAAATAAGACAGACCATGCTCTAGTCAACCACTTGATTGTTTTTTTTTGTTTTGTTTTTTTTTTTACTAGAGAAAGTGTGGGACACACACCTAGTTGAATTAAATTGCAATGTACACCCATTAGAAGTAGTTTCCAGTAGAGTTAAGAAGGAGCTGCAAGCATATGAAGAAAATACAATCCGGAATTCTAGCAGATTATCATGGCATTGAATTTGCTAAGATTCAGTGACAAATACAATCATGTGATGCAAATGAAGGAATTCATAAAACAACAAGGTTCTGAAATACCAAGATTTCTGGGACACTGGTTACATGTAATTTTTAAATTGGGTTGTGTGTATTTCTCCATTTTTAAAAACCAAAAAAAGTTTGTCCTTGGTCTTAATGCAAAAAATAAAATTGTTGAAAAATTAAAATATCTAATAATGGATGAAGCAGCTGGAGTTGAACTACAAGTGCTTAGAATCATGGGGAAGATGTTATCTGGACTGTGGATGCCCATGTTTTACATAGATTTGACAAACTCCAAAAATCCTTTTAACACCATGCAAGTAGTGGAGGGTGTAATAGAAAATTTAAACGAATTTGTAGACCCAAAGACAATTCTGAACAGGACTTCTTTGGAAACATGTTGCCACAAGAAGAAAAGGACAAATTGATGGTTTCCCCAAATAATGAGTCTCTTTAATGAGATGACTGCCTGCCTGTATGAAAGGCACTGTTGCTGTTTTACAAAGACAGTACAGGAAATCCTTCAATACAGTGGAGACCTCTACAGAATCTGGGTTAGCATCTGTAAAGCAACATACAATGAAAGTTGGAAGTGTAATAGGGGAATACTGTGAGAAGAAATTATCTCCTTGCTTATGTCTCCAGCATAAGAAATATAATCAAATCCAAAAGAAACAATGTATGGAAATATATATAAATGACCTGGGGGACAATAAATTTCAACATTATTTGGATTTGCCATGCAGTATAGAAAAAAGTAAGCACCAAAAGCTAAGAAATTGTAGAGGCTGAAATTATTAGGAGAATAAATGAAAAATGGAGGTAACAGCAACAACAGGAAAGGTCCCATCTCCAGAAAAGGCTAATTAGAATAATGCACATAGTTCTTCTATCAATACAGAATTCCTGGATTTGACACCAGATTTTGTAGAAGACATTTACAAAATTTTAAGTGTTGATATAGTTGGCCATAGGATAAAACACATTTAGACAGTTGATCCTGTTGACAAGTTATTTGTAGGTTGGTACAATGAGTTTTCCGATTCAGATTACAATATATTCTATGAAAATGAAGACTATCAATTGGACAAATGTGAAATGGTTGTTGACTTAACCATATCCTACAATTTTTGACCCAATAACCCATCCTGGGTAGGACAATAAATTACATTCAGCAGCAAAGACTGAGCATTAGGTTGGAGTTTTTGAGGAGTGTGGAACCACCTCAGAATTGCTGTTCTTCCCAGGTCCACTCTGACCAGAGTGGTAGCACCTGTCTATGAGCAAAATAGCAGGGGAAAAAAAAAAAAAGAGGGCCACAAAATTTTCACCAAAATCTGACACCAGTTGCATTGCATTTTTAGACCTCTATTGTTACTTGACTATGAATAAATAAAATAAAAAGTGTACATGATTACGTAATTATTACAAAAAAAAAAAAAAAAAAAAGCCTTTTCAATACTGTCAGATAACTTTAGATTAAAAAATATGGGGAGAAATATATATATATATATATATATATATATATAATAAAAAAAAAAAAAAGAGTATAAGATTTCAAACGAGAAGGTGCCTACAGGTATTAGGTACCTATCTTATGAAATTTATATGGTCGTATTTTTGTATTATCTTAGTTATGACATTTTTCCATAAATGAGGTAATATAAAAAATTAATGAAAATAAAAATAATACCCTAATTGTACATAAAATTATAGTATTTTATGTACACTTCTTATAAAATTTCATAAGAAAGGTACCTATAATTAATTATTATAGGTACCTTTCTTATGAAATTTTATCTCACTCTCAACAGTCATATTTTAAATTTTTTTTAAAGTATTATATTTTTCCATAAATCATTGTAAGGTGAAAGCTAAGTAGCTAAAAAAAAAAAAAAAATATTAGAGCACTGAAAGTTTTTCTTAAAAATTATGAGACAAAACTATAAAAAAATGATGTCACTTTTGTCCTTTCATACAATAACTTTCCCTTACATTAGGTATCAATATGTGATGAAAACATCACTTGTCAATTGTAACTGTTGTAAGACATGCTTCTTTCTCTTATTTTAAACTACATTTTTTCTGTGCAGAAAGTATGTTTGTTTCCAAATATATTGAATAAACTTTAAAATTGCTAATTTTCTTCAAATAAATTTTGTAAACGGTATAATTGGTTTTTGGAAGATTTTTAAAAATGGAGAATTTCACTTCTGTTTACAAAATTGAAAAAAATAGCTAACATGATTGATTTTATGTCAATTTTGTTGATTCAAAAAAAAAAAAAAAAAAAAAAGAAAAAAAAATTTTTAACTAAAATTTCATGCTAAGAAGGATTAAAAATGTACAAAAAATACTTTAGTCTTTCCTCTTAATAACAAAGACAATAAAAATTTTTTCATTAAGTTTAAGGCCCTTTTTATTCATGCTATGCTCTTTTTTTAGTGATCTCATGAAGATACCTATATTAATCTGAATAATAGAAAATGTAATCAAAATATCAATGAATGCAAAACAAAATTAATGTAAACAAAATTACCACAGATAATTTCATTATAAAATCAGGTTGTCATGCACCTAGAAAAGAAACTCTTCACTGATGAGCAATATGGGTTTCGGTTGGTCCAATCCACTGCTGATGTCGTAACTACCATCACTCAGCCTCTTGACAACAAACACACCTTGAGGACTATAGCACTAGATATCTCAAAGGCTTTCAACAAGGTATGGGACAAAGGCTGGCTACACAAGTTCTCCAGTTATGAGATCATTGGAAAAGTCTTCTCGATCATAAAATCCTTTCTAGCAGTAGTTATTCCGTAAGCAGTTATCAATGGCCAGTACTCTGAAGCTCTAACAGTCAATCACAAGTGTCATCAATGGGTCAACTCCTCGGAACAGATCTACATAAATGATCTACCTCAGAATATACTCAGATCATTTGTAAATATCTATGCCGATGATACGACTATATATGGGTGCACCTCTAAAACTCGATAGTCAAAGATTGGCAACTGAACTCTCTTCCAATCTTGCAAAAATTACCCAATGGAATAAAAACTGGCTGGTTACATTCAATGCCTCAAAGACCAAATTAATTACACCAATCTGGATGAACAGAGGCCTCTTGAGGAAGCATCATACCTTGAAAGACTGTTGGGCCACAAATTCACACCAGACCTCAAGTGGAACTCTTACATATGATCCATTGCTAAAGATGCAGGTAAAGAGATCAGCTCCCTGTACTGCTCCAGTAAGTACCTGGCCCCTCCTGCTGTCCTCTACTTTTACAAGAGCCAGATCAGGCCAAAAATGGAGTACTGTTGTCATATTTGGGAAGGAGCTGCCCAGACCTCTCACCAGCCTTGATAGCGTTCAAAAGTGTCTCCAAGCACTTGTGGGTGATGAACTATTCTCCACCCTACAACCCTTCTCCCACAGACAGGATGTAAGCCTCTCACTGCTCTGCCGCTACTTCCACAGAAAGTGCTTGAACTACATTCCCTGGTCCCTGGCAAATCTTCACAGCAAGAACATGCCATTCCACTTACATAGTAGCAAACCACCCACATTCCCTCCATATTCTATCAGTGAGAAGTAAGTTCCATTCAAATAGCTTCTTCCTGCATACCACTGCCTTGTGGAACCAACTCCCAACATGATGCTTCCACAATCACTACAATCTTAACCTGTTCAAGGCTAGGGCTAACCTTTTACCTCAAGTGGCCCCCAGGCCTTGTAAAGGGTGAACCTCATAAAAAAAAAAAAAAAAAAAAAAAAAAAAAATCCCATTTTACAAATAAACCATTTTAAAAGGCTTAAACTAACCAATAGCATCCATGACTGGCTAATGCAAATAGGTAATCATTAAAGCTTTCAATTGGCTTCTCTTGCAAAACATAGTCAACCCTTCGACCTTCATTCAACTGACCCATATTGATCTCTTCATCATGACTTGAAGCAATGGCTGTAATAATAAACAAAATGACAATTTAGCATTTGATTTCACTTATTAAAAAAAAATAATTATGTCAAATATTCCATTCTAGAGAGATGTACTTGATTCAAGTATTGATCTAATTTATCAAAGTCTCCACAGTAATGTTAGTCTTGTTCAAGTTTATTGATAAAATGTCATGTATAAATAATGATTAAAGTGGAATTAAACTTGTATAATAGACTAATACCAAACATAACCTAGCATCAGAGAAATTAACTTTCTAAAATTCATCTAAAAATTCAAAAGAATCCAAATTTCTAATTGAGAACAATGTTTATTTAATGATTAAATTTAGGTACCTCCATGAAATTAAAAAAAAAATGTTTAGCATTTTGAAAAAAAAAAAGAAATTTTATCATTTAAATCACTTGGCTTTGTATCATTGGAAATAAAATAAATCAATTTTTTTTTTTTTTTTTACACATTAATTTGGAAAATCTTGCAAAAATAAAAATAATTGTCGGATGTTAATGAAACTTTGAAACTATTCACAGATGAACAAAACTCAATAAAACAAAGATATTATTTAATTTCAAATGCTTTTTTTTATTTTTTAGTTGTTTTTATGAATATGGACAATATTTTCTGAAAGCAAAAAAGTTTTTCGTTAAAAAAAAATGGCTTTTTTAATACAATTATTTTTTATTTTTTTAATTGGACCCCCTTATTAGAATTTTTACATTTAAGTTGTTAAAATATTTTAAAATTAGTTTAAAAATATCAATATTTTCTGAAAGTAAAATGTTTTTCAATGAGATAGATCTTTTTTTTAGCGCGTTTAAATTGTATCATTTTGATTAATCAGAAGATCCGCAGTAATTAAGAAATGTTTTTTTTTTTTGTGTTTATAATCGGGCTGTAATTATAAAGTATGCAAGACCAACCAGAATACAATTAAGTCCCGTTATTTGAGTTAAGCATTGTTCTCCGCTGTTAAGGCCTTTACTTTTGCGAAACGTGTGGAGAAGTTAATTTGATTTTTCAATTTCAACTGAGAAGGGTACCTATAAGTATCAGTATCATCTTATGAAATTTATATGATCTTATTTTTATATTAATCTCAGTTATGACATTTTTCCATAAATGAAATATCAAAATTAATAATAAAATGAATGGAAATACAAATAACAGTAAAATGTAATAAATGTACATAAAATTATAGTATAAATATATTCTGATAAAATTTCATAAGAAAGGTACCTATAAATTAATTAGATACCTTAATCTCACTCTTAACAGTCTTATTTTAATTTCTTTATAATATATTTTCCATAAAGCATCGTAAACGTAAAGGTGAAAGCTAAAAAAAAAAAAAAATTAGAGCGCTGAAAGTTTTCCTTAAAAATAACGAGGTAAATAATTTGTTCACTTAAATCTAAATAATTTCACTTTTCTCCTTCCGTAGAACAAATTATCCTCACGTAATCCGTAAATACGTCATTCATCACCTGTCAAGTGACGCGAACTGTTATGACCTGCTTTGTTTTATTTTCAAATTACATCTTTTTCGGCGCAGAAGCTAAGTTAAGCTTTGGTTCAAAATATTTTAAATAAACATTATAATTTCTGATTTTTTCTTAAAAAAAGTTTTGAAAAAAAATGATAATTGATTTTTAAAAGAATTTCAAACTGAGATTTTCATTTTTTTATAAAATGGAAAAAATGGTTACCATGATTGATTATCTGTCAATTTTGCTGACTCAAAAAAAAAAAAAAAAAAAAAAAAAAAAAAAGAAGATTTTTTTAAAGAAAATTTCACACGTGCTAGGAACGATTAAAAAATGTGAAAAAATACCCCCAAAATACTTTGATTTTTCCTCTTAATAATAACAAATATTTAGACGATAAAATTTTGTTTTCATCAAGTGTGGCGTCTTTTTCATCATGCTATACTCTTTTTTAGCAATCTCATAGAGGTACCTAATTAAATTTCAGTTTGTAAAAGATTTTGAATTGTTAATCATCGTGTTTTACATTTCAATTTCACTAAAAATATTTTGATTATTAAGAAAATACTTATTAAAAAATTATGTTACATCTGAAATAACAATTCTGGGTTATATTTTGAAAGTAGAAATTTTTTTTTTAAATTTAAAAGTTTCGTTAAAATTTACACCTGCAGGGTTTATCTTTTAGAAGGTAATTATTTTCAACTTGATGTCTTAATTTAAATAGATTATATGTATCTAAAAACAAAATGATCAAATGATAATATAAAATGCAGAAAGTTCTATTTAATCAAATAGTTGTAGGATTTTTTTATTTATTTAAGTTTAAAAAAATTTCAAAACAACTTTCATAGACTAAATCTTTTTTTTATAAAAAAAATTTTAATATTTTTTTTGCATAGATGAGCCCTGAAAATTTAAATATGAAATGATTGCAATCATTTTAATGCAAAACCCCAACCATTAACACAGCAAGATTTTTTTCTCCACTTTCACATATTTTTAGCTTTGTTAAGAAATCAAGTATTTTCTGCAAAGAAAATCACCAACAACTACTAAATTACTGCTAAACTCTTAAAGAAAAGAAAAATCTCATCTCTTACATCCAGTTTCTGCCCTTTCATCCTCAGCAATGGTCAACTGACTTATTACATCATCAACGTTTCTTTTTTTTTCTTGCTCAATCTAAATTTGTGATTATACGCAACCATAAACAAATTAATTAAAAATTAAAGTGCTTTTTAAAGATTCAATTATCTTTTAACCTTGATATCTTATATTTCGAAACTCTTGTCAGATTTTCAAGATTAATAATTTTAAAATAAAAAAAAAAAAAAATTAAAATAAAATTGTAACTTTTTTTTTTTTTTTTTAAAAAAAAGTGTTTTTTGTGAGAATTTTTTTTTTTACCTAACATAGCCTTAAAAAAATCCTTTGTGATTCAGGCATCAAAACAGGTTTAATGGTTTCAATACAGAAAAAATCATTCCTGTTCCAATCGGTATGCCTACAAAAATAAAAATTTGAAATCTAGGTTTAACTCATACTAAATTTAAAACTTCATAATACTAAAGGGTTTTCTACTAGTAATTCTTGACTGTCTATAAAATAATAAAATATAAAATCTCTTATATTTGCTACCAAATTATTTTAGTAAATGTTAAATATCCCAGGTTGGAAGAATAAAAATAAATTATTCCTATGCTTAAAAAAGCAATCCAGTTCTTATCAATAAATTTTAAAAAAAAAAACCTCAACGTATTTAAACAAAAGATTTATGAACATAACAATCTTTTTCAAAATTTCATCATTAAGATTGCAATAAATTTTTGACTATAAAAGCTTTTTTTTTTTTTTATTAACATTTTTGTAGATTAAAATAAAAAGCAAAAATCCAATACATTTGCTGATATTTGTGGCATGGAAATTACTTTAATTAATCCATTATCTTATGCAAAATAATTATAAATTTAAGCAATTCACTATCAAGTCTATCAATGAGAAATAGGTAAATATAAAAAAATAAATTATTAGGGTTTAAGCTATAAATATGAAAAATAATATAAAAGACCAGTTATAACTCAATATAAGAAAAAACACATTTTTTATGGGGTTTGTCTCTCCTTCTTTTTTATTTAATTTTCATCATTGTAAAACAATTTTCAAGAAAAAAAAAAAAAATGGAAAACATTGGTTTAAATATATCTGGTTTCTATTTTTTTTGAATTCAATCAAATTTAGGTTGTGGAAAGGAATTTTATATTCTGGAAATTGATAAAAAAAGGAAAAGTAGGTTCTTGTTAACGAAATTATTCCAAGATATTCTCCTTCTGAAAAATTGTGGAAAGATAAAATCTCTTTTATATATGGAGATAAATTAAAAAGATTCAGTTCAAAATTCAACTTTTTATTGAGCAATATCTGAATGGAAATTTTTTTTTTTATTCAATATATACAAGAAAAAATTTTTAAAAATGAACAACTTACCAAGGATCAAAGAAAAAAATCCCAAAGGAACAAGCAAAGAAAAAAAAAAAATCAAATTTCAACAAAATTCAAAAGCACAAAAAGCTTTGAAAAAAACAGAAAAAAAAAATAACAGCTTTATTTTGTTTATTTTCCCAATTTTTGATCAGTTGAAAATTAAATTAAAAAACTTTTATGCCATCAATAAAAAATTCATATTTTACAAGGATGAATAGAAAATTTTGGTAATTAAAATTCGTTCCAGTTTTTTGAAATAATATAATAAACGAAACTTTTAGATTTTATTTTAGTTTTTTTTCTAAGTTTTTTAAAATCATTCTCAAAGAATTTCAGTGAGAAATATGCAGACATAAAAAGTGAAGGTGATACTAAGATTATAACAATAGTTCTAAAGGTTAAAAATTGTGTTTGTCTTGTGCAAATAATTATTAAAGCTGAAAGGATATACACAAAAAAAACACAAATGGTAAATTTTTTGCATGGAAATATATATATATATTCATTAGGATTTTGAAAGTGGAAATTTATCATAAGAATTTTATTTTGTATTTGATTGAGGGAATGTTTTTTAAAAAAACAATAATTACATAATTAGCAACAAAACAAGTTTATTAAGTGTTGAATATTCTTTTTAGTAGAAATCTTCAAACACAATAACTGAATAAAATGTTAGTAGTTAATATTGAGATGTTAATTTATATCTCAATATTATAACATGAACAAAAACTTACTTTCTCTATCAAAAATTAGAAAGATGAAGAAACAAATAAAATAATAAATAGATGCTGTTGTTGTATCTCATTCATAATATCAAAAAAGAATAGAGGAAATAACTATACACTGAAAAGTGTAAGATCCATAATGCATACTATTGTTGTGTATACTAATAGTGGTTATAAAATATGGCAATCATAATATTGCTCAAATGTTGATTTCAGCTTTTATCAAGATTGCTTTCTTTAAATGTTAAAATATTATGAATACCAATTTGAGGACGCCAAACTATTTACAAACATCGTGTTGACCTATAATTTATTTAAGCGTCATTTTATTACATGTTTCCCTAAACATAAATAAAAAGATCAAATTCAAGATATTTAAGGTCTTGCTTTCATTATATGATTAATTACAAAAAAATGATTTAGAATTCATGTTGTGCACATCAATTTACTGTAGTAGGGATGGGTATTTTAAGAGACACACAGTTGCGCATGAGATATGGATAATTTCGTAAAAAATAGTTTCTCTGGTTAAAAATTAAGGAAGATCAGTTGTTGTCAGTTAAATATTACCTATACAAGCATGTTTTTTTAAATTCAATACTGATGAACAGAGGTGTAACTCTCAAAGCTGATAGAAATGATGTTGACTACTGCTTTTGATATATGATGGATATATATGTTCAAATTGATTCTGATTAAAATCTCGTTTAATTTTTCACACTTGAAGCGTTAAAATAATTTTGACTACATCAAATTCATGTCTTATCGATTTATCCAATTCATTTTGGATCCTTCTTGGTCTTCTTCTTTATAATTCTGTTGAAATTATCGAATCTTCTGGGAGATATAAATTTTGATCTTTGTTTTAATCTACAGGGGTCAATTGTTTCTTGTCTAGTTCTTATTTTTATACTTAAGAATTCAAAAATTCTTATCCTATTTTCACTGAGAATATGAATACAAATTCCCTATTCCAAAAATTTAAATTGAAGATTGAATATATGTATAATGCAATACCTATAGATGATAATAGGTATGTCACCATTCAAGAAAATAATAAAATAGAAAAATTTTTGATTAGTCAGTTATTCATTGTGGAAATTAGGGTGATCACTTTAGAAAAGATACATGTTGACTACTTCTTTTTTGTACCAGTGTTTTTGAATCTTATTTTATTATCATTCATTACCAACTTTTTTTTGATCATTCCAGAAAGTAGTAATCTTTCCTAGTTTTTAACACTATGATGAATTATATTGAGAAACACTTTAATTCACAAAGCTATTGTCCTAGTGGACAAGATTCGACTGGAATTCGAATTGAGCTTTAAACCTAATCTGTCTGCTAATAAAGCATTGCTAAAATATATTTAGTATATTTACACTTTTTGTTTTGTTTTTTCTCTTTTTTCAAAATTAAATCAATTCTATTGTCATGATTTTGTTTAATATTTTCGATATCATTTTCTTTCTTTATTAGCAGTCTTTATATTTTATTAATTTATATCGATAGCCTATGACAATATAAAAAATATATGAAGATGACAACTAGAGGATGTAACTGCCAAAATGTTTAAATGAACAACAAGGATGAGGACAATATTCCAAATATAAATAAATAAGTCTTTAAAGGTTCTTGATTCAAAATAGTTGCATGCTGTTGATTATTACATTGTATATTTTAAAGGTTATTCATTTGAGCAAATATTTGAATTACTATGACTATTTATATAGAATATAATAAATTAAATATATATATATATATATATATATATATATATATATATAGTTATATATTTAGGCAGCAATCCTTCCTTTATGCATGTTTCATTAAAAACGACAGACAAGGTACTACGGTTAAGCTTTTTATTTAATTTTTCTTGTGTTCTGACAAGAGCTTTCTTTTCTGGACAAAGAGTGTGTAAGAACTGTCCAAATGTTTTATTTTTCCGAGCGCTTTCGGCTATACCTTTTAGCCATTATCAAGGATGATTCAATTTTTGGAGCTTAATTCATTATCAAGTAGTGTGTGTTTATGTATGTTCAGTGTGTGGTAGTGATGTTTTAATTTCCGAATACAGTTAGCACATTGTGGCTTTGTTCATAGTTAATATTGTTAAGAGTTGGCTTTTTTTTTTTTTTATTATTAAAGCTTCCATTATTTTTAGTCTTTTTTTTGCAAGTGGATGCAGTTAATATATTTGTTTTTTTCTACTAGTATGTTCCTATATATGTCGGGTAAATCTGAGTGTGTGTTTAAATGTGTTCTGATGGAACTGTGATCAGATAGGTGTAATGTAAGACGTCTGGATAAACATGTGGTTGTGTAACCGATGTAATTATTTATGAGTCTGGTTTGATGAGGAACACAGTTCCTTAAAGGGCATTTGAACTCATAGATAATGTTCGTTCTTTGTAATTTTGACTTAGTTGGTGTGTTGTTATTTTTGAGGATAAGGTTGGCTGTCTTAAATTTTTTATAATAGATAATAAGTTTGATTTTTTTTTATTCGGGTCAATAGGAGTAGTATATTTCTTTATAATATGTCTTAGAGAAGATTCATCTTGTTTGTAATTAATATGCATTTGGTTTTTGTAATAAATGTGTATGTGATTTTTAGTTGTGTGTTTATCATTATTACTTGCTTTGGGGAGAAATATTCTAATTTGTTGGTCTATAAGGTAGTTAGAGAAACCGTTGTTAATTAGTGTTTGTTTAACGTTGTTAAGTTCTTTGAGAAAGAGTAGTCGAGAGGATGAGTTCTGGTGTGCTCTATTTAGAAAAATTTTTTTATTACTGCTATTTTGTACCTACTTTGGACATTTTTGAAATTAAGGTGGCACGAGTTTTTGCTGGTGGGTTTTTTGTATAATGATGTAATGAAAGTGTTATTGTTATGTTCAACAAGGATAAAATTTCAATTTCGGTTGGATTGGTGATAAGGTCAAACTTAGATTGGATGTGGCAGTTTGGACCTAAATTTAGAAATTCTTTTTGGTCATCTGTTAATTTATGGTTGGATAAATTTAAATATTTGTCTTCACTGTTGGGTAGTAAAATATTTCCTTGATATATATATAATACAGTAAAACAATTGTTTTGATATGTTCAAATTTACAAACTAGTAAGATTTTAAGCAGTTAGGAAAATCTGAAGGAATAAGAATTTTTATTTTATAAATAAAATTTTTTTTTGATAAACAATTTTTTTATTAGTTTAAAAATGCCAAACTGTAGGTTTTAAATAATCCATAGCCTTTAGCAATCTAAACAAATTGCTGGTAGTCTCCATTTTCCTATATGGATGTGAAATGTGGACACTGTTGGTAGATACAGATAGAAGGATCCAAGCATTTGAGAACAAATGCACGAGAAAACTTAATGAGTTTGTGTGGAAAAGAGTTGAAAGTTTTGTGGGACACCAGGAACCTCTTCTCGTCACTGTCAAACAGAGAAAAATGGCATGGTTTGGACACATTAGAAGGCATGACAATCTGGGCAAGACTATCATGCAAGACACCATTGTAAGTGAACGTAGGAGAGGACACCAACGCAAAAACTGGTTGGACAATGTCAAACAATGGACAGGTATGACTGTACCAGAATTGCTGATGGCTGCTATTGATAGACCATTGTGGAAAAGTTAGTGTGGCTTCTGCATTTGGATCTGCCCTACAATTACAAAAGTCAAGATGATGATGACGATGATGACGACATCTCATTGTACATCCATATAAATGATAATTTACAAAACAATTTTGTTTAATAAAAAAAAAAAAAAAATGACTTATCAAACGCCATAAACAATTGTTCCCATTCAATTTTTTGCTCCTAATTTTAATAATCAAAAACTGAACTTACCGGATGGAAAATGTTAAACATTCTGGGACAAGTAGGAAGATGAAACTCTTCACCAACATTCTCCACACCTCGAACTGCAAGAAATACTCCAATGGGGGAGCCAAAAGCAAAGAAGCTGGTTGGCTGAAAAAGTAGCTGTGGGTATTCTACAGAAGGCTGACCTGTGCCAGCAACACCCATTAAATAATCTACAGACACTGAGGTTTGGCGCATTTGTAACCTGAAAAGCAAAAAATCTATTTTAGAATGAGATCCAGTAATATATATATATATATATATATATATATATATATAATAAAATAGTTAAATACTTTCAAATTTTTTCCTCACAATTATACTCAGCAAAAAAGTGCTTCAAAAATATGGTTTGGTACCTTAGATAGCTGAATTCAAGGAAAAAATTACAATCATTATTTTTGTCCAATGTTAACAGGACAAAAGTAATGATTTTAAGTCAATGTAGAGATTTATGCTCACATTCTGAAAACCCATAAAAGGATTTGCCAAGATATTGAAGATTTGTTTATCAGACAGTAGCTTCAATAATTCCTAGGGGGAAGAACTAAGTTATTTTTTATGTCTACTGTTTAAAAAGAGTAGTGTTTTATCACTTGTATATTATAAGCAGTTAGCTGTATTTTATGTAGGTACCCCTACTTGGTTGCATAAAAAAACAGCATAGCATGATGAAAAGAGGCCCCATACTCAATAAAAGCAAAGTTTTGTCATCAAAAGGTTTATGTTATTATTAAGAGGAAAATTTTAACTCTTGTAGCACATTGTAAATTTTGGTTAAAAATTTTTTTTTTTACGTCAGTGGCAGACCAAAGATAAAGATTTTTTTTTTTTTGCATTTTTTCCAGTGAAAAAACACACTGATTTGGAAATTCTTGCAAAATTTGAATAATTGTCAGATTTTAATGAAACTTTCAGGACATATTCAGAAATAAATGAAATTATTTTTTAAATTTTTCTTTTTAGAAAATCTTGATAATTTTTTTTTTTTTTTTCTACATATGTCACCATCCACTTACTTAATTTCATGAAATTAAATTTTTAAAGGGGAGGGATTTTTTTTTTTTTTTTTTTAAGTTAAAAACAGGACTCTTTGGAGAAAGTAAATCATTTTTTTTTTTTGTAAAACAGTTACCCATTTCATCGAAAATCTGCTCTGAATTGTAAAATAAAAATGCAATAAAACTATGACATTATTTAATTAGAAAAGCTTTTAATTGCTTTTGTAAATAAGTAAAATTAAGGATATTATTGTCTGAAGAAAAAATTTTTTTCGATGAATAATGAATTTTTACAAGGATTTTTTCATTTTTTTAAAAATTTTAATTATAATAATATAATAGTTCAAAAATCATTTAAAATTCTTCATTGCCTTCAAGATGGTGGTTTGGTGATATCGTTAAATGAAAAGTACATTTATGAATCAAAATTTAAAAACCTCATAACAGTCATTTGTACCCTTATATTTTTAAAATAATTTAAAAAATAATTTTTAGTGAAAAAAACGTTCCTAATTTCTACCTATGGGAATCTATACATGACATAATCCTTAAAAAGGTCATGTGTTTTAAGTGTCTGATGCACTGCACTTATTTCGCTTTTAATTCAGTTCTGTTTCATTATTAACACTTTGCAAATCATCCCTTCAAAATATCAAAAAATAGTTCTACTTTGCTATTTCACTAAATATTTTTATTTTATATATTTTGGGCCATACTTCAATTAATTAATTTTTTGTTTAAGGGAGTAAACTTAAGAACCTAGAGACAAAATGCAAATTTCATAAAGCATCTTGAAACCTAACTAAAAAGTTAATAAAATATTAAATAATTGCTCAAAATACGTCAATTTGTAAAAATTACTAAATAGTTAAAAAAAAAAAAAAAAAAAAGTTCAATTAGATTTCGTAAAATTATGTCATTTCTGCTCATCCATAAAAGCTGTCATCACCTTGAGAGCGTCTCGATAAATCAATAAAGACAAAAGAAAGAAGGAACACATCATTAAAAAATGATTGTATATTGTTTTTTTTATGCTATAAGTAATATTTACTTCAAATCAGATTAATTTAACTTTAAATTTTCTAATTTTATTCAAATAACGTGTCACAAATCTATAATTTAATTTGGAAAGAATTTTAAAACCGATAAATCTGTTTACAAATTTCTTAAAATTAAGAAAATGAAATTTTTAAAAAAAAAAAAAAAAAAAAAAAAAAATCAAGCATATATTTGACATTCCAATCTATATAATTTCTATCTGAAAAACACCAGAATATTTTACTTACTGGAAATAAATTTAATCATTTAGGTTTCAATTAAAACTAAAAATCTTCAAGAATGCTTTTTCATTTTTAAAATTTAATTTTAAAGCTTAGGTGTGAAAATTCAGTGGAGGTGCCTAATTTTAAGCAGTGTGGTTTTTGAACATATTAAAATAAAAAATATTTTTTAAAATTAAAAAAATAATTAAACCTTTTAACATCTTGCTCTGCATAAAATTGTGTCACCTAAGTATTCAACTAAAGTCTTGAAAACCATCTCAATGACCAAAGAAGTATGAAAATGGAGACTGAGAGAATTAGTCTAGTATTTATGTGATAAAACAAATAAAAATGAAATTCATAGGAGTGTGAAAACAGTGTTTTAGATTCATGATGAAGTGTTTGTCAAAAATGAGAAAGTATTAAAGGTGTGGCTAGAAAATGTGCAGAATGTTGATAGAAACATTCTGCGGAAAAAAAACATATAGAGAGAGCAATAAGGTGTTTAAAGCTAACAAGAGATGGTTTTTGAGTTTTATAAAGCATATGAATCTCAAAGTTACAAGAGAACTGGCACCAGCTGATAAGGAAGCAACATCAGAATTCCCAAAACACCTCAAAAAGGTAATCAAACAAAAAAAGCCTATAATCAAGAGCAAGTCTTCAACTGTGCTGAAACTGGTATTTTCTGTCAAATCATGCTTAAATTGATAAGGGTACCAACCAAGCCCTAGAATTTAAGGCTTAAAAGAATTGTTTTATTCTAGTCTTGGCAATGTCGCAGATCATGTGATCAATGCCTCCTGGTGAGGCAGTTAACAACCTACAATCAACGAAGGAGTAAAGGAGATTTTGAAGGTTGCCAGGGAAATTGGTGAAGTCTTCTCCAACATAACCAAGAAAGATCTTCAACAAGACATCAAAGAACACCATGAAACAGAGACCTGTCAGTTTTAAAACTAAGCCAAAATTTTGAAGGGTATGACCAAGGAATATGATCCTTTAATGAAACAAGGCCTATGCCTCATCCATGTGATCAGAGCTGTCTTAAGGACAATGCAACAGTTGTTTAACAAAACCAAGAGAAATAAAATATAGTTTCTTAAAACTATGAAAAAAGAATAATCTTCAATTGTGAAGCCTCATTCTACTCCCCAAAACCATCCATCCTAACAATATGCCTACTCCAAAACATAAAAGATTGTTCAAGGGGAACCAGTTGATCATGTAAGATGCAGTCACACAAAATAAATATATATGTATGAAGTGGACAAACAAGTCTGACAATTATTTTAATATATTTTATTGTTATGCATTATTTATATAGACACAAATATTTAAGTAAATGTTCTGTTTATAATAAACAGTATTTACTGGCCTGAATGTCAAAGAAATTTCATAGAAAACATGCATCCATGACAGGAATTGAATCTGTATCCTACATGGAACCGTCATATAGCCTATATATACAGTGTTATACCAGTTTATCTGTGAAGGAAGCTAATAAATATTTAAGTAACTAAACAGGTATAGCATGTCAGGCTATATGATGGTTCCATGTAGGATACAGGTTCTGTTGGAGAACACATATTTTCTATGAAATTTCTTGGACATTCAAGCCGGCAAATGTTATTAATACTGTTTATTATAAACAGAGCATTTGTATCTATACAAATAATGTATAACAATAAAATCCCCAAAAAAACAAAAAAAACTATAGTTGGGTGGTTTGGTAATTTATGTTTTGACATGGGTTTCCATTTTATTTTTCTTGATACTGTGGTTTTCAATTTGGTTTTTCAGATTTAATTTAGTATTTTTGCTTTTTAAGGAAATCATTCATTTTCCTGTATAATGATAGCATTTCTAGTTGATTTCTGATTTCCTTTGAGATTGATAAATTTGCAACTTAGTCTGTTCAAATCACAATTTATTGTGTATTTCTGGTCCAATCTTAAAAGTATTCATATGGCTGGAAAGCAAATAATCTTTCTAAATATGTAATTTGTATGTGCTTTTATTCATTGAATTATTTTTTTTTCTTACAGTGAGTATTTTGCTTTAAACAGCCAAAAATACAAAATATAATAGCCATTTTTTTGCCTGTGTGTGGTGTGTACTCTTACATCACTGAGGATGCAGTTAGTGTAGGCCATGCTAACAGTGTATCAGAAACAATTGTTTCTACAAGAAAGGATTGTGGTTGTATGTAAGAATATTATTTTTTTTTATTTTCAGAGAATCTCAAAAAGAATTTGTAAATAGTTTTGGAGGATTTGATTGTATTCAGGTTCTATTATTGATTACCAAATTAAAGATTTTAAATATTTTATAATGAATGAAATATTTATTACAATCTATAGCTAATTCATCTTGTTTATAGTTTGAAGCATCTGATTACAGGAGAAATAATTGGCATTGTTGTGTGTACTATCTTCACCACTATTATAAATTTTACTTAAAGATTATTTTAATAATCTTGCTTAAATGAAAACTTTGTTCATCAATAATTTGGAAAGCTCTCATTGGTAAATATTTGTTTAATATTACTTGATTCTTTATAGAAAATCATTTTTGAAGACATTAATTTGTACTTATTGATTAATTCTATTTTTTTAATTGTTATATTATACCAATGTGGATATTCACTTCTATAGTTTGTAAATAAGGCAAGAGAACTAAAACATTTTTTATCAAGAGAGGTAATAAAATTCTGACTATTGGAATTGATAATGACAAAATGATGTTTTACATTTTATCTGTATCTAAAGAACAAAATTTTAATCAAATATATTTGTTTTAGATTTTTAAAATATCTTATGCTTTTTGCTAAATCAAAAAAAGAATTTAACCTGGATGATGAAAAGAATCATAATTAAATAAAAAAAAATTATTAAAATACAATGTAAACATAAATATTATAGTTTAGGTGTATAGCTTGAAGAAGTAGAGATGTTGAAATTAGCTCAGTTAATTTCAATGGCTTTGCTTCTTCAAGCTATATTTTTGTAGCAGTAAGAATTGATTTACTGTGGTGAAGATTAATATGTTCAGTTGTTAAAAGACACAGAATCACATGCATATGAGCAAGAGAAAAGAAAGGAAAATGAAAAAAGGCAAAAGTGTGATGCCAGTTTTAAAAATTGTTTTCATCTGAGTGTGTTAGTAGTAGGAGGATGAGGCTTTCATCTGAAGGGACTGCAGAAAAAGAAATGTGTGCAGCCAGAAAGAAGAGCGAGAATCAGCATTAGAGTTAGCTATGTTCCCTGCAAGTGTTTGTCTTGGATGCCAATCATTTTCATGCCACCTACATTTTTATTGCCAGATATTCACCAAGAGTGCAGGTTTGCAAAGAAGAACAGGTCAGTATAAAAGTTGTTTATGGGCATTTACTTATTTATTAATAAAATTATTTAATTTTTCAATACTCTTATTTCCAGAATTTTTTCTTCCAGTATTTTTATTTAATTCTATTGACAACAAGAAACATTTTTTCTGTAAAAGACAATCAGAAATTAACATCATAAAAATTACTTACTTTTCTGTGTCCAGTTTTTCAGCTTCTAGCATTTTCTTTTTAACTTCTTCAGCTTCTTTTGCATTCTTTTCCATTTCAAGTTTGGCTTTCATTTCAGCTTCTTGTTTCTTAAGAATCTACAAAAAAGATCATTGATTTTATTCTACTTTCAAAATAAGGAAAAAAAAAATGAATATTACAACATTCCCTTATGTTTAATATATTTATATATAAATTAGTTTACCTGTACCATCAGAAAAATGATGGCACTTTAAAATAATTCAGCAATTGCATTGCTTATATATTTTTTGAATGAGTTATCTGAGATTTCAATTTATACAACTACGGAATTCTACTTTTTAAGTTATTTAAAAAAAAATATCTAAGAAAGCTAACATGAAACAAAAGTAAAAAGCAATATATTAGCAGATTGATCTTCCCTGCTTGTCTAATTAATGGCATCAAGTTACTACCCTAATAATAATTGGCATCAAGTTACTACCCTAATAATTTCCTGTTACAATAGAATTTCTCATTATTTCAGAAATGAGAGAAAACCATGTGTCACTAGACAACAACAAAAGTTATTTTTTTTAAATTGTTTATATTTTCCCAAATGATTTAGGACAATTTTTCACCACTGAATCAGAAAATGACATCCATTTCTCTTGATCAGGTCATGTTTTTGTGCTAAGTTGAATTTTTAAAAATCCAATCTTCTGACTAAATCAATTACATTTTTGTGACATTATCGACTGAATTTTGTTAATATTTCTCATATGAAATAAGTTTTTAAGAGAAAAAAATTGTTTACTAACACAAGTTATTAATTAAATCATACAAACATCGATTACAATAAATTGAATAGTGTACATTGATAAATGTAAGTATATGTAAATTGCATGTTATGTCAAATTTCAGGGCTTGAAATTCCATTTATTCGAACCTTTAGAATGATCATCAACAGGTGTGTCTCTTTTCAAATTCCAGCAGTAATCAGCCATCATGACTGCATCCCAGCGTCCCTGATACCTGGTCTCCATCTCTTACATGTCCTGAAGGTTTCCCTCTCTCTGTTCGCCATTCATTGATCCAAGACTCTCAGGAAACTGATCCATATGTGAGAATAAATAATGCATTTTGATGATCATGTTGCATCTGAGGTTTCTGAAAGCAGTCAGCATATTAATGACAAGTTCTGCATAGTTCCTGGCCTTGCTGTTACCAAGAAAGTTCTTCATGACCAGAGCAAAAGCCTTCCATGCATCCAGTTCCACTTTGTACATTGAGTTTTCAAACTCTGGATCTCTGATGAGCTGATGGATTTGAGGACCATTAAAGATGCCAGCTTTCAACTTCTCCATGGTCAATCCTGGAAAAGCCTGGCACAAGTAAATGAATCAGCCATCATCCTTGACTAGAGCTTTGGTGAAGTGCTTGATCAAGCCAAGCTTGATGTGCAGTGGAGAGAAACGTATCCTATCTCTGTCCACGAGAGGCTTATTGATGATGTTTGTTGCTCTGCAAAGCATCAATTCCTCCTGAACAGGCCAGTCCTTTTTCATGTAATGTGTTCCTATCTTTTCCATGTAATGTATCCCTACTATCTCACATGCGCAAAAACATGGTTACTTGGTGAACTTGGACTGTTGTCCCAACAAAAATTCACCATCTTTAACAAGACTCATGCTGATCACAACAAATTTTTTCCAGCACATACTTCACTGCTTCATAATTTTCCTTCAGTATAGTTGAGTGTATGAGGAGTACAGAGTTTGTATTGTGGCACTCCAATTTTGTGCAGAAGCTGCACAATATCTGTATAGTAAACCAAGTTCAAAGAAAAAGACAGAGGTACTGTTGATGTCTGATGTGGTAAAAAGTGATGTGAACATTGTCAGAGTAGAGGCTTTTTCCCTTTGATCTGGATGCCAACAGTTTGGCAGAGGACTTTGACAAGCAGAGATTGCAAACTAGATCATTTAGTTCCTTTTGAGAAAAAGGATGTAGAGCATCATCGTCAAAAACCACTTCTACCACACCATCACTACTGCTAATAATTCTATTTTGTATTCTATGGTTTTGTATTGTACAGTTTAATTGGTGTATTTTGAGATGTAAGCACTTTATTGCATGTTATTGGTGTATAAATATTTTGAAGGTGTGTTTTAATAATTATGAAGCTATTTTTGGCTGAAAATATTTCTGATGGGTTAAAATTAATAAGTTTATAATTAACATAATTAGTTTTATTGTGTGAAACATGTTGCAAAATTTAGATATTTTAATAGACATGACAATGTAAACAAAAATGTAAAAAACAGCATGTGGCCATAGATCAAAAAGTTGACCTAATTGAGCAAAACCAATGTGATTTTTGGATTCAGCACATCAAAATTTTCCTAAATCAGCTAAAATAATTTAAACAATAAATTTGGTGCTGACCAGTGAATCGATATCACATTGTATTTTATATTATGGAATAGATATTTACTTTTAGAAAAGAATGTTGAAATAATGTTCAGTATTTGCTTATAATAAATATCTAACAAAACAAAATTGCATATCAAATATTAGAAATTATTTTAAAAAACAAAATTGTTACTATTTTTATAATAAAAACTTTAAATTCTATAATCATTTTACTTACACGCTTTTGCTGTTCTTCTCTCAGCAGCATCTGCAACTTCTTTCTTGGGCCCATTGGCAAACCAAGATCTTTTAAATCTGCATCACTGCACATTGTCTGAAAGAAAAATAATATAACTTCATAATTTCAAACTATAGAAAATATTTTTTTCAACAGCAATGCAAAATTACAAACTGAAATTGATAACATTCCGTAGCAATAAAAATAAGAACTTCTAAAGTGCAAGCAGTTTTGAGCACTCACTAATGAGTCCATGTCCATTTGCTCCTGTTCAAATATCTTAAGCTTGTCCTGAAGTCCAACTCGAGCCAAGAGCTCTTCAAGTGTCATATCTGGTTGTTGATCTTCAGTACTTTTCTCAGGAGGGGGTAGCTGCAAATGAAATTGAAATATTATTATAGTTTAATGTAATAAATAAAATTGTGTTATTAGGTTTTCCATATTTCCAAATGTTAGGTCAACAAATACTGGTCATTTACAATTGAATGGTCACATCTTATATAGGTACCTCCACTTTTTTGCATGATGAAAAAGGCTACAAACTCAATAAAAACAAAGTATTGTCATCAAAATGTTTATGTTATTATTAAGAGAAAAGACCAAAGTATTTTGAAATTTTTTACTCCTTTCTAGCATGTTCAAAATTTTGGTTAAAAATCTTTTTTTTTTTTTTTTACATCATCGGCTGAATCAAAGATAAAGGTTAGTTTTTTTTTTTGTGCTTTTTCCAGTGAAAACCACACCGACTTGGGAATTCTCGCAAAAATCAAATAATTGTTGGATTTTAATTAAATTTTATTGACATATTCAGAAATGAATAAAATTATTTTTTGAATTTTTTTTTTTACATGTTACCACCCAGTTAATTTCATAAAATTTCAAGAAATTAAATTTTTATGGCAGGGATTTATTATTAGTTAAAAGCAGGACTCCTTGGATATAGTAAATCATCAATTTTTTTTGTAAAACAGTTAACCCATTCACCAAAAATCTACTCTGAATTGTAAAATAATAAATGCAATGTCATTATTTAATTAAAAATAACTTAATTGCTTTGATAAATAAGATTTATCAAGGACACTATTGTCTTAAGAAAATTTTTTTCAATGAATAATTAATTTTTACAAGAATTGCTTTCATTTTTTAAAAATTCTAATTAAATAAATTTATAATATTAAAAATTGTTTAAAATTCTGTATTGCTTCAAATCGGCAGTGTGGTGATATTGTTAAGTGAAAAGTATATTTACAAATCAAAAATTGAAAAGCTCATAAGACATTTGTAACCCAATATTTAAAAAAAAAAAAAAAAAAAATTAAAATTTCCAGTGTATAAATGTTCCCAATTTCTACCTATGAGAAGCTTTACATGACATAATCCTTAAAAATATTACGTAATTTAAGTGTTGTATGACACACTGCAATTTTTTCACTTCCCTTATTCAGTTCTTTTTCATCATTGATGTCTTTGAAAATCATCCCTTCAAAATTTCAGAGTAAGTTTTACTTTTTTAAATTACTATTTCACTAAATATTTTTATTTTATGTATTTATTTTAGTTTGGGTCATATGTCAATTAATTAATTTTTTGTTTAAGTTAGTAAACTTAAGAACCTAGAGACAAAACACAAATTTCATAAAGCATCTTGAAACCTAACTCAAAGTCAATAAAATATTAAATAATTACTGAAAATATGTTAATTTGTAAAAATTAGTAGGTAGTTAAAAACTAAGAAAAAATGCATTCATTTAGATTTCGTAAATTTATGTTAATTCTGGTCATCCATAAGAGCTGTCATCACCTCAGAACTTATTGATATGACAATAAAGATCAAAGAAAATCAGGACTCATCATTAAGAAATGCTTGTATATTACTTTTTTTATGCTATAAGTAATATTTATTTCAAATCAGATTAATTTAACTTTAAATTTTCTAATTTCATTCAAATAAGATGTCAGAAATATATTTTTGTTTTTGGAAGATTTTTAAAACTGATAATTTTGTTTACAAATTACTTAAAATTAAGAAAATGGACACTTAAGAAAATTAAAATAATCAAGCATATATTTGACATTTCAATCTATATAATTTCTATTTGAAAGACACTGGAATATTTTACTTACTAGAAATAATAAATTTAATCATTTAGCTTTCAATTAAAGCTAAAATGAAATCTTCAAGAATGCTTTTTCATTTTTAAAAATTCATTTTAAACCTTAGGTATCAAAATTCAGTGGAGGTACCTAAACTTATACATTGTTACTAACAATTACAAGTTCAACTATTATACATGTATCAAACATTGTTATACAATTCCTTATAACCATGGTACAATACATTGTAACCAATTACGTTATGCTTGAGACACATCCAGAATATATTCTGTCAGGTTGATACTAAGACTCTTAGCAGTTATACTTTGGTACACTGAATACTAGTTTAATTGTTACACACAATTGGTATCAACAAGAACTGGCAATGTCTGACTTGTAAATCTCATGAAACATTAGAGTATGCATGTGTTGTTTTTATGCACATGTGTGATAGTAATCATAGGAAGAAGAGGGTATCATCCTTAGAAATAATCATAAAAGGTAGTTATAAAACCCAACTATTTAACACATAATATACTTTTGTTTCATATAAGAACATTTACTTGCTATATAAGTGTGCATGGATCTGGTTTGATCTTCATAGAATATTTTAGAAATTTGGTTAGTCCAAAGAAATTAATACAAATATATAGAAAAGACAGTATTATTTATTATATTAAAAAACATAGTAATGGAACTGAAATAGATATACACTCAACTCCAAGATTAGTTTGTTCATTAAAAACTATATTTTTAAACTCACAATTTGTATAAATTTTTAATTCTTTTTCACTTCAGGGCCTAAATGATCACAGCTATTCACAGATTATTTTTGTTTATTAGCTGTGAATTGCCTTAAATTCTTAAACCTAGCAAAATGATTTCCTGTTGCCTTTACATTGTTTTGAACAGTTGTTCTTCTCCAGGATTGGTTGCTGCTACTTAACCCATAGCTGGTGGAGGGAGAACAAATGAATGTGTCTTTCCAAGAGAATTAATGTGAAGTGGACAAACTAGGATGGAACTTGAACTTATTAATTTTGCACCAATGACCCTTATCTTATGCATACATCCTAAATCAACTTCTTGAATTTTTTTTCATCTACATTTTCATAGAAAATTTTTTAATTTTTTTTTACTTATATAAATACAATGTCTATGTCTTTTCATTTAATTTTCAAAACAGCATAAAAATGTAGGATATTTTTTAAATTATGCTTGCAAACTCGTATGCACATGTATATACAATGACATGCCACAAGTCAGAGAGAGGTGCCTGGTATAGGGTAAGAACCCAGTCTAGCCTGTCAAAGTGCAGCAACTCAACACTGCATCAATTCCACTAGTAGTCAGAAGACATGTGGAGAGATCTTGATAGCTGTCCACAGCTCTTTGAAATTTGTAGGTACAGAATAATCCAGAAAGTCTTCAGAATAATTCTCAAACCAGTTCTGGGAAAATTGGACATGATGACAGTGTACTGGAATAACCCAACATAGTCCATAAATGGGTGCAAATGTTCAATGTGGTGGTCAATGAAGTGTTTAGGTGGACCCAGCCCAACCCAAACCATGTGAATACACCCCACATCATTAAGTAACCACAACCAGACTGCATGGTGCCTTGATTACAACTGGCATCTATGGCCTTATGCTGTCTGTGCCACACCTGAATCATACCATAAGCCATAAACAAGTGGAACTGTCACTCACTGGACTATGCTACACATTGTCAGTCCTCTAGGGTCCAATTAATAATATTATAAACTCAAGTAAGGTGCTGTGTCTGGTGTTGTAGTATTAACAGAGGTACTCTGAGGAGTCTTATGTTCCCATATTGTTTCTAATTTTCATAAAGATTGATCAGATGTCAGAAAATAACCAGTATTATCTTTACATACTGTTATCCCATAATTTTTGGTGTGTTTGTATATATATCATTGCTGTCATCACTAAAAGATAAATGCAATGCAAACAATGTATAATGGATTAAAAGTGTGTATGTATGTGCGCACATTTGTGCAACTCACCTCCATATTTTCAACTGCAGAGATTTCTGGAGTTGATTCTTTTACTTTATTTTCTGATGAAGCTGTATCAGGACTGCTAAGTGGGTCATGCTGGTGCAGAAGGAGGTCAAAGAGAATTGACGAACCTTGAAAGCAAAAAGGTAAAAAGATTAAATTAGCACACATTTTTTTTTTTTTACTTATTTCTTAGCCACTTTTATGCAAGGTTTAATTTTAGAATTTTGAAAAAATCTTACATTATTATTCATTAAATCTTAATTGAGTGTTTCACAAATTTATTCAGACTAAGCTAACATAACTGCAGTCTATAGAAACTGCAGAAATTCGATTTCATTATAATCTTGATCCAAGCATTAACCTACTCAAGTCCTGGGGTTATTCACAAATTAAGAATGAATTAGCAACTCTATTCAGTGTAGACTATTAAATACTGAAATTATTATACAAGATCAAACAGAGCACTGAACAGATTCATAGCTACTCTCACAGCTACCATTAAAACAAAAAAAGATGTTAGTAGTTATTTTTGGAAACTTTTTATTTAATTACACCTCCTCAATATCACTATCAATCTTAAGTAATGATCAACTGCAAAGCAATTGTCATAAGTTATTTGAATTCTTTTGATTTTCATTATTCATTTCATATTGTTTTATGTGTGTGTGTATATATATATATATATAATAAAATGAAGAGAGAAAACCTGAATGTTTTTGGTTGTAATGTGGATTTTTAAAAAATATATTATGCTTTATTCCGCATAATTTTGCTACATGTGTGTTTCCGGTATGTGTGTGTGTGTGTGTGTGTGTGTGTGTGTGCACACACACACATATATATATTGACAAAAACAAAACTGCTCACGGGCACACATGTGAACCTTACACAACATAGGAAGTGTGTGTGTGTGTACATATGTGTATACGAATTCCTTATAAGACAGTATAAGACATATATATATATATATATATATATATATATATATATATATATATATATATATATTACGATAAACGTGCAATCAATTTACAAATTCATGGATTATTCACACAAAAACAAATGCAAAGGTTAATGATTTAATTGGCGATTCAAATAATATACAAAAACCTCCGAATCCGTTATGAATGAAAAGATCCTTGTTTCTATAAATTTCTGCCGTATTAGTTCATATTTTTACTACAAGCTTTCGTCTGTTCCTACAAAACAATAATTCATTTCCAATAGCATTTTCGGATACAACAATACATATATTTTCGTTGTCCTCTTATTACTAAGAGAAAAAACAAGAACAACATCTATTCCATACCTGAAGATGTCTGTAGTTTGTGGTTTCTCTCTTTTTATTATACACACTTTTCTCTCATTGGAACTACTATAACCTCTTCCCTATATATATATATATATAAAATGAAATTAAAGGAAACTTGCTAAAAATGAATAACTGCAAATCAATTAAAAATATTTTAACCATCCAGCTTTAGTAACATAATTGAATACCATGAGATATTTGTAGGACAATTTTGTCACAAGACAAAAATTACTTTACTATTTCCAATTTAATTAGTTTGCAAAACTAACCCCTCATAAGTGCTTTCTAATATTGTTAAAACATCTTATTAAAAATTGCTAGATGTTTTTCTACATCTGTAATGTAATTGGGTCAATTGACAATAGAAAATCAGTATAGCAGCAGTGTATTCACAATGCATGATTGTCTTGATGGAACATTATTTACATTATTCGGACTATTGTCTTCATCTTTGTCGCCATATTTATTACAACGTTTCAGCCGTTGTACACTCCAGCCTTCAGGTGGTTGGAATGTCGAACTGAATCCTTTATTTCGCTCACTGGGGTAGAATACCATGAGATATTTGACTGTTCTAGTTCCACATGCCATGTATGATGGATGTCAGTTATCAGTTATCTCCTGTTATTTTCCCTCTGAAAGTTCTCCACTCAAGGACCCAATACCTGGTTAACCAGGTATTGGGTCCTTTCACTGGATCTAACCAACGCCTTTATCCATTGTGCCATGTGTCCTTGAGGACATCTGGGTATGAATTTCTGGGTATTATAAACTTAAGGAGTGCCAGAGAAAAGCAATGATAACAGCAAAGTTGCAATATGAGCTCTGGTAAAACATGCAATAGCAGCAAAAATTTCAATATGAGCACTGGTAAAAATGGTTGCTGAAGACATTAAGTTTATAATACCCAGAAATTCATACCCAGATGTCCTCAAGGACACATGGCACAGTAAAGGTGTTGGTTAGATCCAGTGAAAGGACCCAAAGAGTGTGAGTTCAATACCCGGTTAAAGCAGTGGAGAACTTTCAGAGGGAAATTAACAGGAGATAACTGACATCCATCAAACATGGCATGTGGAACTAGAACAGTCTACCCCAGTGAGCGAAATAAAGGGTTCAGTCCAACATTCCAACCACCTGAAGAAGGCCGGAGCGTACAACGGCCGAAACGTAATAAATATGGCGAATAATGTAAATAATGTACATAATACCTCATCTCAGAAATATAGACAGACTCTGTCTTGATGGAAGTTTGTATATTCTGTAATCGGAAAGACGTCACTAAAGTTATAGTTAAAAATTTTGTAAAACTTAGATTTAATAGAATTACTATAACTCAAGGAAGGTAAGAGTCTCGTAAGCTTATATTAAAAATATAAAGTATTTATAAGTGAAAGGAAGCCTTAAATAAAAATTATAAACTCAAATGAAACAATAAAAAAAATGAAAACCAAACAGTGGATGATTTTATTCTCAGTAAAATAGATGACTTTGGAAATTCTTACGTTATATAAACATTGAGCACCATCTGAAATCACAAATTGGGAAGAATTATTAAGCATAAAAAAAATATTATCCTTTCAAGAGCCTTACCCAAACTATGACCAGCCACTGACAATGAACCACGGAATGTAGGGTTTCTTTTCAGAAATAGCTTGTATAAACGGTTGATTTCAGAACCAACTGTATCACACATAGTCTTAATAAAAATAAAAAAAAAAAAAGAGAGAGAGAGAGAGAAAAAAAGTTGCTTAAATGAAGTTAAAAGAGAGTTGTATTAAATATAGTAGATAAAATATAGTAATAAAATATTAAATTGAATTATATACTTTAGATAGGCAATTTATAAAAAAGACTTTCGGAAAAAATATTAAAACAAACAAAATTAAATACCATACTTACATCAAATATTATATAATGCCATTTGAATTTTTTTTTCCAGAAAGCAGTTCCACACAAAAATATACTGCTAATATTTTTTATTTATATTTTAGAACTATACGATGTCAGTTTACTATATAAGTCAATGCTTAAAATATAGAATTAGCATTAAGCAATCAATGTTGGTAAGATTTTTTTCAGGATACCCTTATATTTATGACTTTCAGCTAAACTTTTATCCTTATTAGAAACTACTGACAATAAATTGATTGGGGACTGTCAACATGAATTTCTATTACGAATAAAACCAAAATATTTAGGTTATATAAATATTTAATTAATGCATTATATCCCATATACCTGAATAAATTACTATTTTATGAGTAAATAAGAGCTTCTTGATATTCTATAACCATCACCAGTTTTTTAGTCATTAATTTTAACTTTTCTACTGTCTGGATTTTAACATTTGCAGTAGTTTATATTGTTTTTCATTTTCATACACATTTCTTTTAATGAAGGACTATAAGTTTCCTATTGGATTGAAATTGAAAGCATCTTTGAAAATATTTTTGTCAAGATGGGCAATAATCAGCTTTAAAGAATGTGAAGAAACAAGGTCTTGCATCAATATACTCTTTAGCTTAAAGTTTCTTGGTTGTTGAAAAATATAAGTATTACTACATCACTCACCTGTTGTCTTCTAAATTATGTTGGTTGAGTATTTTTATGATGAACCCAAACTAACCGAGCTAGCAGATCCATCCAATGTAGATCTATATTCATAGCTAAAAATTAGTTTACATGTACTTCTTCACACAACTTAAGTTTATCTTTGTGATGTTTGATTAAATACAATAAATTTAGTTGATTTAATGTCTTTAATATTCTGCTTTTTCTTTTTGAAGAGAGAAAATTACCATGTTGATACATGGTAATTTTCTCTCTTCCTTTAATATATTTTGGCAGCATAACCATAGCATTTTTCACTTCACATTTAAAAAATAAATTTTTTCCTTTCATATAAACACAACAGATTTGTCTTAGGAGAAAAAAAAACAAACAATACCCTGATGATGACATTGTGCTAATGTTGAAAGTACTCTGAATTCTTTTTATAGATACAAGATGATAAATAAATTTGCATAATAAAATCAATTAAGTTACCATTAATATTTTAATAAATACATGTAAGCTGAAATTCACACAATATATTTATGTCAATAACAGCAAACCACCAATGAAATTGGTCAGTTATGAACAGTTCACTTAATACATTTTTGTAACCAAAGCAATAGTTCTTGATTAAATTAATGCATTTTTGTTAGCAACATGTTACATCACAGAGATTAGAAAACTTGCTGTTACACTCACTTTCAGATTTTTCTTGTCTTCTCATTTTTCCCAACAAATGAGTCAAGACACTGTCAGTCAGGCATTTCTGCCTATTTCCAGCACCCACAAAACATGCAACTCTTTTTACTTTACAATATAAAGATATCCTGAAAATTTTACTAATATTAGTTGGTTAATTCCAGTTTTAGTGGGAAAACGTTGATTTACAAAATAAAATCAGACAATGTATTGAATCTGTATATAAATCAAAAAAGTTTTCTGTGAGTAGGAATTGTTAATACTTTTATTATTATTCACTTAATAATGAGGCTCTAGTTATATATTTTCAAAATCTGAGTAAAGAGGTATTGCATGTTTTAACACTACTATGAAAAATTGATTTATAAAGTTAATTATACTAAAATGTTTTGATCTCTGTGGCATTTAAAGCAAGATAATGTATAAAGTGGGAAAAGTACAATGTAATATTAACATAAAACAATGATTGAATATGAAGAAATTTAATGTTGTCTTGTAAATTGTTGCAAAAATGAAATTCTTTATTCTGGTTAATTCAGTCATAACCATATGTGGAAATTAAAATTTTAATAATTTTTAATAACTGGTGCAATACACTTTTATAGTTTATGAAGAAAATATGAAATGGTTCATTCTGCTTATTGCCTGACATTTCATTGTGGCTGTTGAAAAGTAATAATTTGTCTATGATTAAATTCTTTATTTGAGAAAAAAAAAGTAAAGAGGTTGGACATGTCTGATATAATTGGATATACTTTTTCCATCCCAATAAAATAAACAGAAAGAACAGAACAAGTGAACGCTGTAAGATCTTACATATTTTCCTATAGACAAATTCAGTAAGAATATAAAAAACATACCAGATGCAGGCACTAACTATTAATAGATATTCATACATTAAGCTAATACATGAGTTAATTTGTTTAGGAGAGTGTAGGAATTGTTTTGTTGGTTAACAATTATATAAGAGTATGTAACTAACAATATTAGTAAATAAACATTATTGCCCTTGCTAAAAAAAGAAGAGACTGCTGTCAAATTATTGAAGATAGAAAATACTATAACACTTAGTTGCTAAATTCAATTCAGATTTGTAATTTAAATGACTTACCTGACAATATTTGGGGCTAGTATAAAATAAAATATCCAATAAAGTATCATTCACAAAATGGCGCAGTTTTCCCGTGCTAGGTAAGGTTATTGCTTTCAATCGACTGGAAAAAAAAAAAAATTGACATTGAAAAGAAGGAGCAAGATTATTTTTTCATGATGTCCCTATGAAAATTTAATAAATAAATTAAAAAAAAAAAAAAAAAGCAGATTTCTTAAAAAATCTTTTCATGCAAACTTCAGGAATATTTTCAGCAGAAAGTAAGACTACAGCCATGACTTTTCAATGAAAGGATAGAATAAAATCTCTATATATATCCGATTTTAACAGAAATTAGTAAGATTTATCAAACTTGGTTTGTTTCTGTTTTGCACCTGCACTCTCTTTTCCCCCAAATGAGTTCAGGTTCATAATCAAAATGATAGTACTTTGAAGAGGCATAAAATTAAGATTTTTTTTTTTTTTTTTAAATAGGTTAATCACTAACAAAAAAATCTCAGGATTATGTAGCAATATTTTTCTAAGCTTAAATATAGAAAATTACAAGCATTATAAAAGCTAATAGAAAGACAATCGTTGCAGCATTTATATTAAGTTATAAATCCAGGAGATACTGCGATCATTATATAAGTGTTGATATGCCACAAAATTAAAAATGCTGAATAGTAAATATATTTGGTGATGTAAAAACATTGTAACAAAGTACAACAAAATACTAAACAGAATGACTGAAAATATTTCACAAATTGGTAACTGATATTTCAGATCAATATCTTAAAAAAAATAATAAAAAAGCCTGAAGCCCAAACTCATTTCCACAGTTGATTATTTTGACAATCTTTCACTGACATAATACATTAAGAATAGAAAATAATTAAGGACAAGGTGGTGCAAAAAATTCACTAAAGTTCTCCTGCCAATAAAGATAAAATAAAGCAATTGTTAGCACCCTTTGAGAAAGACCTTTGTAAAAAGTTTTGCATGCATTCAATGTATTGGGTTGTCTGGAAAGTTCATGCTGATTTTTAGTCTTCATGTTCCAACACATTAGAATATCAAATTTATCAACAAATATAATATACTTACATTTCTGATTAGAGCAAATTTCAAACTCTCTTGAAGAAGAAACTTTAATTTGTGTCATTTTTTTATTGAAAAACAAAAGATTATAAGGTGCATTTTAGACACTTAATGCTTTGTTTCCATAAAGTCAAAAATGTAGTGAAGGTGGTTTAGTAGACAGAACAGTATTGAAGTGGTTTTCTAAGCTTAGAGTTGATGATTGTAGTCTTATTGATGATGAATACTCAGGCAGATATCCCCCCCCCACTACAAATGATGACCAAATCAAGACATTGATTGAGAATAACACACATTAAACAATGCGGGAATTGGCAGAAACACTAAATCCACCAACCTTGAGTACTTAGCAAAGCTTGGGTACTCAAATCGATATGATTTTTGGGTACCATATGATCTGAGTGAAAAAGAATCTTTTGGATCACATTTCATCTGTGATTTGCTGTATAAACACAATGAAAATGCACCCTTTTTTTAAGCAAATTGTGAAGGGTGATGAAAAATGGATCATTTACAACAATATTCAGTGAAAAAGATCCTGGAGTAAGCAACATGAGCCAACTTTAGCCAGCTCAAAAGCAGGTCTTCAACCTAAGAAAGTCATGCTGTGCGTCTGGTTGGATTGGAAAGGAATCCTGTTCTATGAGCTTTTGCCATGTAGCCAGTCAACGGATTCTGAAAAGTATTGTTCGCAACTGAGGAATTAAAAGGCAGCAATTCAAGAAAAATGCCCAGAATTGGTCAACCGAAAGGTGTTTTCCGTCAGGATAGTACCAGATAGTTTCTTTGGCGACCTGGCAAAAAATTGTTGCAGCTTGGTTGGGATGTGTTACCCTACTTGCCATATTCACTAGACATTGCTCCTTCAGATTTTCATTTATTCAGGACTTTGTAAAATAATCTCAATGGTAAAAATTTTAATTCTTTGAATGACAGAAAAAAAACACACCTTGAGTTTTTTGCCAAGAAACCACTGAAATTCTGGGAAAATGGAATCTTTAAATTGAAGGAAAAATGGTTCATATTTACTTGAAAAAATATTTAATAGCATAATTTTATTTTGTGTTTTAATTTCCCTTAAAAATCAGCATGAACAACCCAATACCTTTCTAAAACACATTCAAAAGAGCTTACCTATCAATCCCTGTTGCATCTCCATGTAGGGTTGTGTGCCAATGAACTGGTAGGAATTCAACACGTCCAATTCTTCCAGATTTTATAGCATCACTAAAGTGTGAGTGAAGAAGTGTTTGGGAAATAGAACGGAAATCATCAACTAAAATGTGAAAGAAAGTAAATATTTAGAAAAAACTATTGTTTTTACAAATGGATCATTCAATAGTTTAATTATTAGAATAAATACTGCAGATTCATTGGAGTACATTAAGCTTACTAGGACAAAAAAAAAAAAAAAAAAAAACTTCCTTTGAAACAACTCTCAGTGTGAATAGAGAAGTCTCACACTTTTACTCAATGCTAAGCCAATTTCATAGAAGTTATCTGAACTTAATACTAATGTGCCAAAAGTAATAGGATAGCAGTATGTAAGGATAAGTGGTGTCACTGTATTTTTATGTCATAGATTTGACCAGATCAGTTGTGCTTTGATGTCTAATGAATTACTGTGAATACTGGCTAAGATGCTCATAGCAAGGTGATATGAATTATTGGAGTTTGAATAGTGCATTATAGTGGGTATCTGATGAATGTAGTGCAAGAATAACCACAGGTTCGTAATGATCATGAAAGAAGTGTCTGACATTAAAACAAGAGTAAATAGTTGTGTTATCAGCATAGATACAGAGTTGAGAACTGATGACATTGGGAAGGTTATTGATGAAAATTAGGAACAGTGTAGGTCCAAGGATAAAGCCCTGGAGGACACCTGCTTTAATGTAAAAAGATCTAGAAGAATTGTTATTCAAGCCAAGTTTCATTTTGCAATTTGATAAAGATTCTCATAAAAAATTATGTAATTGTTGAATTACTGCCGAGGACTTGCATCCAGTGTTGAAAGCAACTAACACTTAACGTAAAAGGAATGGTTAGAACACAATTTCAAGTACAACTTTGTGTCTGTTAGGGGTTTTGTGAACACTAATGTTATAACCACTCTCAGTACGACTTAGGATGTTTGAAATCCAAGATTAGTATTGTATAAACATAAATCTATTCACAACTTATATAGATATGGTTAACAATCATATAGATATGGATAACAATCAGATTGACTACTTTTCTGACAAAGCATTAAAAAGATCATAACATAGGCGACAATAATCAATATTCTCCTAAAACTTATTTAACTTAAAAAATAAATAACATTGGTTCAAATTTTTAGTACAGGTCCATTTGGTTGATATACTTACCACATTCAACAATACTACGGAATCGAATGTCACATACTGCTCCAATGCCATGCACGACAAATACAAGATGATCAATCTGGCCAGTTTCACCTGAAAATTAAGTTTTACTTTTAGTTTGTAAGAAGTTATATTAAAGGCATGGAAATAATTATAAAAGAAAAAGTTAGTTTTTAACATAAGTTTTACAGTTAATATGCATAAGGAGTTCCCTTCATTTGTAGGATATCTGGTGATATTAGATTATTCAGTGTAACAGCTGAATTTCATACCAACTAGTTTTGATATAGGAAACCAGAGTTTCCTTTGAGTATAAACATTTCTGGATAGTGTTCTCTACAAGTTCTTCAGGAGTTTAGGTCAGGAAACTTTACTATGTGCCATGTCCCTTCAGGACATAAGATGATCATGGCTCTCCAGAATTTCTTGTCCTTTGTAGTGCTTAATAAATTTTGTCTTTTTGTCATCTCTCTTAAACCTTGCCAGGTAGGTTATGCTTTGTTTTCCTTTGTCCATCTTTCCCTTCAATCTGTCTTGTAAGTATCAAATTTTCCAAGCTCTCTTTCCTTATTATGTGACCTAGAAATTTCAACTGTCACTTCTTGATGTTAAGTATAATTGTCCTCTTCATTTCCATTTTCTCTAAAACTTTGTTGTTGCTCATATGTTCAGGCCATATGGGTGGCTGCACTGTTGGGTTGGAATATGAATTTATGTTTGTCATGGGAGCCAACAAAGTCATTAAATTCTTAAGACTTGAATGTACTTTGCAGCTTTTTTCACCTCTACATACTACTAATTCAGTCCTTACATTTGCAGAAAAGGACTCAAATCATAACCACCAAACTCTAAGAATATAGCAAATTATGCCAGTAAAAAATAAAAAAATAAAATAAAATAAACATCAGCCCATTTTTGTTTGCTTCAAGTGACTTTCTCCAACTATCTAGTGCAATCTTATAAAATTGTGTCAGAAATAGTGTTTTTTTTTTGTTGAAACTATATCACATTCATCTAATACTTGCCATACACATTGGGAGTTTTGTTTAGCTGGAGTTGTTTCTGCAGCTCTTTGGATCTTGATTGGCTTTTAAAAAACCCAAAGAAAGTGTTTTTTTGCAGTTGCTATCAGCTGAGATGTCTTCAATTTCATGTACTGGTGCCATGCTTCTTGGGGATTTCAAGAAAGTTGCTTACAATTCCTCTTCATCCGAGTTTCTTTGCTATACCATTAACACTATAATTTTATTAATTAAAACCAAAATTTTATTTTCTTCCAAATGATTAACTCCTTGTGCCATTTTCAAGTGCCTTCTACCAAGGTCTAACAAGAAATAACAATTACCTAAGAACAAGTCATTGTTGGCACATTCCAAATTTTGACAGAAAAAGAAACTTTCTTCCTAAGGCTATTTAAAGGACTGTCTTATATTTGCTTACATGCAAAATTATTATTTATCAATTTTTATTAAAAAATTGCTAAAGTTTTCAATAAATCTGTACTAAAGTATATTTTAATTATTTTTTTTCATTAATTACAGTTTCATCATTTTATATATGCCAAAGAAAAACTTATGAGCAAATTTATGTGGTGACTTATAATTATGACCATGCTTTTATTGTAGACTAGACAAAAGAATATAATTTGAGTAATATCTTTGAGTGATCTTACATGCTAAAACATGTAAGATTATTTATAGAGGCATTATTCACGACAAAGTCATTGCAAATAGAATTTCAAGTTTTCATTATTTTACTGACAGTTAAGGTAATATGCCAAATATTCTAAAAAAGAAAGTTTTAAAAAATAATAATAGGCAGGAAATTGTAAATTAAAAATATAATAAAATACTTACCATCTAAAACTGTAGCAAAGTCATCAATTCCTCTTTTGACAACCCTTGGTCTCATCTGGTCTCCCTAACAAAAAAGAATTTAAAAGTCATAAAAAAGATTTTTTATTTGTCAAGAAATTTGCTTTAAAACTCAATTTTTGAATCCTAACAGCATATTGCTTGCTCCCTGATACTGGAAAATATAATTTGATCATATTCAATCCATTCTCTTTATTACTGCTGCAACCCCCTAAAAAAAAAAAAAAAAAAAAAAAAACTGTAATTATATAAAATTACTGAATTCTACTTAGGGATACATGAATATGTTTGAGGGGATACTGAAATATTCTCAACCTAGCCCAAATCCCAAAATTTGGACCAACTTACCAAACATCATTTCTTGGTTGGGCCAAGAATGTTTCAGTATTCTTTCATACAAGAAGAAATTTAATAAATTTCAGTACTAATCAAAAATGATTTTTTAATATTGCTATAAGTTAGTGGAAATATTGTGGTGTTCTCTGTTTGGGAGCCTTAATTCTGTACCACTAAAGAGGACATAAAAAAAATCAGGATTTTTGTGAGTGGTGGTGGGGAACAATAAAACAATTATCAACATTCAATGTATTTTTGTTTTTTATCTGTTATTTAATTATTTACAAAAATAAAATGTCATTTACTCTTAACTTAAAATCATAAGCTTATGTACTTGTGCTAAGAACCTACCTTACTCTGCATTGTCTCCATTTCATTACTTACAAGGATTTTAATTTCACATGAACACCAAATATAATTTATAAAGGGAAAATTTAATAAAAACTGAATTTTAAATTTAAAATATAATCTCAGATAACAGCACTGATGTAACAAATGTGACATTTGTTATCTTATCTAATTAAAAAGAGTAATAAAACATCATCCTGCTTCTTAGTCTCTTGCATAGTAGATCAGAAAGCTTTAAACTGATATGCTTATGAATAGATGTTTCACCCATCAGAAAATAAACTGTACACCTTAAAATGTAATCACCTTAAGAAACTAATATTTAATTAAAATATATCAAATCATCTGAAACAATAATAAAAGGTAAGGGCAATTATTATATTTCCTGTGTTTTGCTTTTGTTCAGACAATAATCTATCAAAATAGCAAATAATGAAAACAAAATTATACAAATCATCCCTTTTCTATTTTTCTTTGCTATATTAACTGGCTTATTCCTCAACTGAGTTTGTACGAAAGTTCAAAGATTTCAATTTCATTTGGTCTAATTCAGAAAAATGCTAATAAAATGTACACACTTTTTTTAAGATCTCAAAGTATGAGTTTATGAAACAAAAATAAAAAAGATTTTACAGTAGATGCCTGAAACTATATATATATATATATATATATATATATATATATATGGCTTTGAAAATGACAGAACACATTGGTTTGGTTTTTCAACCTCAATGGGTTATTTAATGCTGACAATTTTTATTGCTGATAATATATTTCCTTCAAAAATATATAGCTGTAATCTTATTTTTTTTTTCAAAAATTCATTACTGGTAATAATTTTTCATCAAAAAATGTATTGAAGGGGGTTAAACCAAGTTTTGATGTTAACTATTTGCCCATAGTTGGGACCCTAACAGGTGCTACCACCCCAGGTCAGAGTGGACCTGGGAACACCAGCAATTAAGAAGTGGTTCCATGCTTCTCAAAACCTCCTGACCAGAGGCCTTGCTGTTGGACATAGTTTATCATCTTACCCAGGACGTGGATGTAGTTTATTGTCATACCCAGGACATGGAACACATTGAAACTAAAAAAGGCAGACACAGAATAAATAAGAAGCCACAACTAAATCCATTACTAAAAACAGATTTTTTTTTGTTGTTCTTTTCAGTTTTGAGTATTGTCATCCCAACAAATCTTTCTGAAAAAGTGTTGGACAAAAATAGTCCCTTTAAAAGAAGGCGTTCCAATGAATCATTCATACAAAAAGTAAATTAGTAAACTTAATGATATAAAATTTTTTCGTCTCGGATGCTACCTGAATTTTACCAAAAGCAAAATAATTTCCATGCCTGAAGATGACTGAATGTACAGTTGAAAGTACTTGTGTATTTAAGAAAGACCTTATACAGCTTATAATTTTAAAAAACAAGGATCATAGCAGTCATGGTGTGATTAGTAGGTTAATGCATCTTTAAAATTTTGTTAGCAAAGGGATTTCACCATTTTATATCATTAACTTTACTAATTTACTTTTTGTATGAATGATCAATTGTAATATATATCTTAGTACCATGATTTTTTGTTGAATTTATAAATTAGTCATAAGAGGTTCACAACTATAATTAATAAAATAGAAGTATTCTTATAACATACTGTAATAAAAGTTATGTCATGAAATATTTTGTTCTTACTGCAGATCTTAGCAGCAACAGTATATGATTTTGTTTCTTTCCTCATTAAGTTAAGAATTCATTCAATTTTACATAAAATTTCATCCAAGTAATCTAATTTTAACAATTTAAACATGTGAATAATTTATCTCTGTCAATACAAGCTGACTTGGATAGAAAGAGACAAAAGAAAAGTGATAATTACAACACATATATAGCATGTACGTATACAAGTTGGATTAAAAGGTGCAGATAAAAGGTATTTGGGATAGGAAAAAAAGGAAGAGAGTACTTTTTAAATTAATTTGTCTTGTTCCTTGATGTGTAAAACATAGGGTATTTGATAATGTATAAAACTGCCCATAATATTCTAACAGAAAGTTTTCAAGCCATTTTCAGGATCCAAACTCTATTGTTATGAGCTTAACAATTGGAGGCAAGAGCCATATTTTTTAATTCAATATTTAAATTTTTTTCATTTTAGCTTTTTTGTGATAATTGTGATGCATTTGCCCACAATAAAACACGTTTACAAATATGTGGTTCAGATGCACTGAAAAAGAGAAATAAGAGAGAAATAGATGCTGGTCAAAAAGAGTAAGGTGAAAATTTGTTTTTGCATAACTATTTTTTTTTAATTTTATTATAACTATTAGCATCATCATTATAAGGTCAAGATCAAAGTCAGTAAAAATATTCATATATAAACATTCCCAATTGAACATGATAAACATAAGATTAGTAATTTATGATAATCACTTGGGAGATTGTATCTTCCAGGTTGCACAAACATCTAATTCATATGTTGTCCATATCCCATAAACTTTGCTACTTGTTCATAGTGAGATCCATAGAGTGCACAGTAGTAGTGTTTCTCATACTAATATATGTCACATATTTTTATAATTCCTGCATAGTATACCACATTAATTGTTAAATGCTTTAGATTATCAAAACTGTTATTAAAATCAAGAAAGCAAAACTTCAGATCTCAGCCAAGCAATAAAGAGAATGGTATTTTGAATGTATTTAACAAATGACTGATACAAGAGAGTGCTGAGAAGTTCTCAGTGCTAAAAAAAAAAAAAAAAAAAAAAAATCTAATAATGGGTCATTTGGTAAGATTTTGAGGAAAAAAGGAATTTCCACACCTCTTCCCTCATACATTCTGTTTAGAGATGAATTTCTCTTGCATATTTGCCTTGTGTATGCATTAATGCTATAAAGTTAAAATTTTAAAAGTAAAAAAAGTTAGTATCTTTAATTATGGTGTTAGTCTTCATTTAGTTTTTTCTTTAACTATGTTACAAAAGTCTGGATCGTGAATATGGCTAGATAAAATAGATAGTTGAAAGTGCTTGGTTAGGAATTATGATGAATTTTTTAAATAGATTTTTCCATTAGAAAAAAAAAAAAAATCAATTGTATAATAAAAATGTAAATTTATTTTAAAAAATGCTGCAATATTTGCATTTTAAGTTAACATTTTTGACAATTTAGCTTGTATATTAATTAAAAATTATAGACTAATTAAGAGTATGCAAAATTAATTTTGGGCTTAACCTACTTCCCACAATATTTTAAATTTTCAGTAAATCCATTTTAGTCTTCACAATCCCAAAAAATAAAGTCTGTTTTTTGTTAGATCACAAAAAAATTGAAAGAAATAATGAATTTAATAAAGATTTGAAATTTAGTTTTGTTTGTTTTTGTTTGATAGAATTTTTTCTTAAAATTTCATGAGTAAGATGAAACAGGTATTAAATGTTAACATAAAACAATAACAAAAGACGTTTGTTTACAAATTAGTCTTAAATGAAATCAGTAATCGTAAGGATTAAAATTAAATACAGAAACATACATGCTATCTTTAAAGTAACACAAAGAAAACATGCCTTGAGTAAACACAAAAAAGTGAGCAGGAGTAAGAAAAATTATTACAAGCTTCTTGATTTGTTTAGACTAACATCCTCACATTTGTCTTTTTACACAATATTCATAAAGTATAGCAGGAACATAATAATAGCAGCTTTTGCTTTATAATTTTGATCACATGCAATGAAAACTTAGAAATATAAAAATTTAATTCTCACAACTTGCTGAAATGTCTTTTTTTTACACATACTTTATTTACATAAAAGAAAAAAATTGTTTAATATTTGTTATATTTATAAAAGGAAGAGTACTCAATGTCAGAGATAGTGTATTTGTAGTGTGGACATAGATATAAACACTGCAGAGTAACTCCTATTTGTAACAGGTACTTGTTCTTCATTTGCAGTGGTCATAGGATACTACCATTCATTTTTAAACACTGCTCTTTGCCTTAGGTGAAATATTGTACCAAAAGACAGCTTCCATTGGTGAAATATTGCTCTTTTCTGCCATGGCTGTTAATTGTTTTATTATGTCTTTTGGCAATTTTGTTGCCTCTGGGCCTATATGCTGCTCTGAAAAAAACGTCTAACTCCCCACTTATTTAGTATCTGTTTCAAGGTTGCTGAACAAGACGTGGTGCTTTTTTCCATTAGCACTTTTGAAATTTCAGTTGCACTTTCTGGAGAAATTTTCTGCCAGACAGTTGCTCATCTAGGTCTACAGTCAACCATACTCAAATACATCTTCTGTTGATAATGGGTTACGTCAACAGCTAAGCATATTTATTTTTTTCCACATGAATATTATTAAT